TTTACTGTAATTCGAAAAGGAAGGGTAGAGTTAAAGTGACATGAGAAATACTGTGAAATCTATCATAAATGCACTATATCAGTTCCGAGTTTGTACATTCAGCACTAGAAAGAGCGTTTTCCGTTAATATCTCCTCAACGAAGCCTCGGACAACATTTTCGTTAAGGAAAAAGTTGTTCCAAATCACCTCCACCCTATATATACAGTGTGTCCCAAAAATGTTGTAACACCTTAAAAGAGGTGGTTCGGGAGGTGATTTGAAACAACTTTTTCCTTAGCGAAAATGTTGTCCGAGGCCTCGTTGAGAAGATACTAACGGAAAACCTCGGACCAATCAGCGCGCGAGTATGCCGATGGAGCGGCCGCGGTAGGCGTAGACTACGCGCTAGGCGACCGCCCTCCGCCGGTATACGCGCGCTCTGATTGGTCGATGTTTTCCGTTAATATCTCTTCAACGAAGCCTCGGACAACATTTTCGCTAAGGAAAAAGTTGTTTCAAATCACCTCCCGAACCACCTCTTTCAAGGTGTTACAACATTTTTGGGATACCCTGTATACTAATATTAATAGTATCTAAATGACACAAGTGTTAAAGACTTTTATTTTCTCTAGCCGCAAACACTTATTTTAACAGGATCACTTATATTATTCGGTATTTGAAACTCTCGATTACCTCCAATAAAATAACATTGTAGAATGTTCAACAATTCGTTCTTACCTTTCACGCATAGCGAGTTTCTTGTGCACATGACTTCAACATTTTTAAACGGCTATTATAATTACGAACGTTTACGATTAACCTTTGATACGTAAAACGGAACTAAATCTTTCCAAATGATATTTTACGAGCTCGCAAGATGCGACCGATTGTTATTCCGTATAAATTTGAGAACTTTATCGGAGGTCAATGAAATCAATGGTCTTGGAGTTTGCAGCGCGTTAAACGAAATATTTTCAAGTAAAATCCATAAATGCACGCTCGGAAAAATACTTCCTGCTCGATGGACGTTTTGGACATTCGCTAAAAATGTCAGAGGAAATTATTTCTCCAAAATGGGGCAAACTTTATATTTTCTGAGATCTCAAAAGATCGACATTTTTTATTTTAACAAATATTTCAAAGATATTTGAAGTTTTCGGAATCGATTAAATTTGTATTTGAAATGAATATTTATTTAAATTTGTATTTGAAAGAGTTCTTTTATCATTAACGCAGTTATGTGATTAGGATAACCAAAATTACGTTTACGTGAGAGATAAATAGAATAGGGCGATATTCTTATCTATCTACAAACTTCAAATTACCTTACCTAAATTACTGTTTTAGGGATTGAACGTAGCAGATAAACTGCTATATAACGTTTCTATTTTTCTCTGCTATTTGAATAGAACTCTGTTCATATATGAACAGAAGAAAATTGTAAAATTTACTTATTTCGATATTTTATTTCGCTGTACATTTTATTCATTTTATACATTTTATACATTTTATAAAGTTCCTTTTCTTCCACGTAAATGCAATTTTTGTTATTCAAGGTCAACATATCATACGCAGTTAAATTTATTTTTTATAAGCTACATACTTGCAGTAATGAAACATATCATCTTATTTGAAAATGTTCTTTATCTTGAAATATACAAAAATGTGACCTTGAAGAAAATCGTTTGTTTACCTCAATATTTGTCTTTGGCAAACAAATAATATTTTGTTCCGATATTTGCATTGTATTATCGAGAACAAGAAAAACATTTAAGATTGTCACGTTAGCTGGAACGTATTGTATCCTATTTGTATCCTCCTATTTATTTTTCCTTGTTATTCAAATAATTTCTTTCGGCCATACGATAATTAAATAAATATACTTATGGTTATTAACATGGCGCGTGTTTTCTTTTTCTTTTCATATTGAATGAGCACACGTAAATGCAGACAAACTCCAACGGACGAATAATAATGATGAAAATAAGAAATAGAATAAAAATAAGACGCGATGTAAAATGTTCCAACAGGAAGCCAGCCGCTGGTATACCGCAGAAAGGGAGCCAGGTAACAGAAATCAACTTTATCACAGGTGACCGTAAATAATACCACTCTTACGCAACGATATTAAAACCGCATTGTGCGATTCATCGTTCTGAGATTGTTATCGATATCGCCAGTAATATTTTATCGACGCTCAGAAATTAATCTCACGTAGAGATTTAAATAAAAGTCGTGATCTCGTTTATGATTAACATTTTTTTAACAACTGTTAGAGAAGTAAAGTAAATTTAAAGTTTCGTGCCATTGTTTTCTAGAGGGCGTTTATGGGAAAAAGGCCAGATGCATTTTTTGTTTTTTATAGTTCCGAATTTTCCGGCACCTGTTCAGGATGATCTCGCAATGCAAGCGTGTTCATCTTAATACTATTTTAAATTTCTAAGAAAACTCGACACCTAAGCCATATACAGGGTGTCCCAAAAATGTTGGAAGTCATTGAAAGGGGTGATTCGGGAGGTGATTTGAAATAACTATTTCCTTAGCGAAAATGTTGTACGAGACTTCGTTGAGGAGATATTAAGGAAAAACGTCGACTAATCAGAGCGCGAGTTCGCTGGTGGAGCACCCGCGGTAGCCTATGAGCGCGGCCGCCTAGCGTGTAGTCCACGCCTACCGCGGCCGCTCCAACAGTATACGCGCGCTCTGATTGGTCAGTGTTTTCCGTTAGTATCTCCTTAACGAAGCCTCGGACGACATTTTCGCTAAGGAAAAAGTTGTTTCAAATCACCTTCCCGAATCACCTCCTTCAAGGTGTTACAACATTTTTGGGACACCCTGTATATACAGAGTAGAGGTGATTTGAAACAACTTTTTCCGTAGCAAAAATGTTGTCCGAGGCTTCGTTAAGGAGATATTAACAGAAAACCCCGGACCAATCAGAGCGCGAGGATGCCAATGGAGCGCCCGCTGATTGGTCAGTGTTTTCTGTTAATATCTCCTTATCGAAGCCTCGGAAGACATTTTCGCTAAGGAAAAAGTTGTTTCAAATCACCTCCCGAATCACCTCCTTCAAGGTGTTACAACATTTTTGGGACACCCTGTATATATAGAGTAGAGGTGATTTGAAACAACTTTTTCCTTAGCGAAAATGTTGTCCAAGGCTTCGTTACTAAGTTATTAACAGAAAACCCCGGACCAATCAGAGCGTGAGTATGCCGTTGGAGCGACCGCGCTCATACGCTACCGCGCTCATACGCTACCGCGCTCATACGCTACCGCGGGCGCACCACCGGCATCCTCGCCCTCTGATTAGTCGACGTTTTCCCTTAATATCTCCATAACGAAGCCTCGGACATTTCCCCTCAGAAAAAATTTGTTTCAAATCACCTCCCGAATCAGCCTTTCGAGCACCTTCAACATTCTTGGGACACCCTGTATATGTTTTCAAAAACCTCTAACATTTTTAATTCACCCTGTATAGTCAAAGCGTATTCCTATGTCCTACTATGAAGATTGATACTTCAGTGTAATAAAATAGCCAGTAAATATTTCAGTTCAAACTAACTTACTTATAAGCTTACGTAAAAATAATTAAATGTAATGGCATATACGTAATAAGTTTGCATACCTAATATAGCAAATACGTATCTCAAATAACGAATTAAAGATGAACAACTGTTTAACCGTTGCTGGTTCAATAAGTATTTAAATCTGAATTGTAAAGCGAAACTTTTATAATGCAAAACATAAATGTCCGATCGAATAACGTCGTAAATAAATCGCTCTACACTGGTTTTTTTTTTTTTTTTTTTTTTTTTTTTTTTTTTTTTTTTTTTTTTTTAAATCTATTATTCAAATAAACTGTTGGAATATTTCTACTATCTAAGTACTAATATCGACAGTATTTCTCATTATAAACAGCTTATCGTTAGTGATGCATTTAGATATTAAATTCTATATATACTTTATTTGTTGTACATCTTATACACAACCTCATACGTCTTTTCAAGCGCAGTGTTACCAACGGCATCATGAAGAGCAAAAAGAAACTTAAAGTGTAAAGTAGAGAAAAGCGTTACCAACAGTGAGGAAGTATTATTAATAATTAGTTTTTCATTAAAATAGTACATGATAAAATATGAGAGAAATTAATATCCAATATTAATATTCTCATTTTCCACTTTGTCACTAAATATTAATCATTACATTAGAATTTAGGACTTGTTGTAAATTATGCAGAAAACAAATACAAACTCCTTTACTTATACATTTATAATGAAAACATGTTCCTTAATTACGTCCAGTTTAATACTTAAAACAAACATTATAAGGAATTTTATATGCATGTAAAAATGTTAAATACTATTACAGACAATATTGTAACAAACAAGTGAATATTTGCTAGGCATGATGTCTGTTTACTTTGTTATCTTGTATATCATCTTTGGTATAGGTACACGTTTCCATGTGTGCGTGTATTACCATAAAACCCAGTGTAAATGACGTGCGCAGTACGTAAATTCCTTTCATCGCTTTACTTAACCAGTCTATTGAATTAACTAAGCACTTGGGTTTCCTGTTGGATGCATTCTAATCTATCTTGAATTACCACTCGACCGTTACAAACGTAAACTCTTAAATCACGATTCATCTCAATTACAGACCGCTCTGGATGTGAAACTAAACATTTTATTCGAAACATACAAAATTATTAAAATGGTACCTATTGTAGTTACAACAATAATAGTTACAACAATACACCAACAATATTCTACTAGTAAAAATTAATATTCCACTACTAAGATTGGTGTTTCGATATTGTTTTACCTAGTATGAATTATATCCTTATAGAGATCATATCCGTTTTTCAATTCCAGTATCAATTCCAGTAGGTAAACACTGGAAATTAAAAAACTATTTTATTCGTCGAATTTTATTATTTATTTATTTACCGAATTTAGTAGAAGTATTTTCGTTCGTTGTACTTAGTGGAAACATTTTTGTTTTTTTTTTTTTTCAGGGCCGTGATGGGGTACTTAAAACTTCTTTGGATTATTCGCGGCCACGAGAGGAAGGACCGAAGTGTGGCTGATGTGTTTCGACAACACGTCAGCCGACATCCCAATAAAGTCTGTTTCATTTGCGAAGATGACGAGTGGACGTTTCAACAGGTGAGATGCGTTATAACAGTGCTTGGAATTACTCGCACATTTCGGGCCGGTTCCTGAGGCACCGCCCACTGTACCCCCACTACCGCTCTAGGCTCGAACGCTACGCACTAGGCGCCCACGGCCCCACTGGCATACTCGCGCTCTGATTGGTCCGGAGTTCTCCGTTAATATCTCCTCAACGAAGCCTCGGACAACATTTTCGCTAAGGAAAAATTTGTTTCAAATCACCTCCACTCTGTATATACAGGATGTCCCAAAAATGTTGTAACACCTTGAAGGAGGTGGTTCGGGAGGTGATTTGAAACAACTTTTTCCTTAGCGAAAATGTTGTCCGAGGCTTCGTTGAGGAGATACTGACGGAAAACCCCGGACCAATCAGAGCGCGAGTGTGCCGGTGGAACGCCCGCGGTAGGCGTGGACTACGCGCTAGGCGGCCGCCCTCGCACTGGCATCCTCGCGCTCTGATTGGTCCGGGGTTTTTCATTAATAACTCAGTAACAAAGCCTCAGACAAGATTTTCGCTAAGGAAAAAGTTGTTCCAAATCATCCCCCGAACCTCCCCTTTCAAGGACCTCCAAGTTTTTTCGGACACCCTGTAGAATTGTAGATAATTAAATAATTGGTATGTATGTTATCGATTAGATGTTGAACAATCGGAAGTAATCGAACCACTCGTTTCTAGGACTTCCAACATTTTTGGGACACCCTGTATATTATGTTCGTGTACATATTTATAAAGAAAAATTATTCCAATATATCAAACCTATTATTTAATTTAAACACATGTCTTCCTGTCAATATTTATGGGATTGACAGTATACATGGTGTTCCAAAAATGTTGAAGGTCCTCCAAGGGGATGGTTCGGGGAGTGATTTGAAACAACTTTTTCCTTTGTGAAAATGCTGTCCAATGCTTCGTTATGGAGATATTAACGAAAAACTCCGGACCAATCAGAGCGCGAGTATGCTGGACGAGAGTGGTCGCCTGGCGCATGGTTTACGCCTACCGCGGGCGCTCCACTGGCATCCTCGCGCTCTAATTGGTCCGGAGTTCTCCGTTAATATCTCCTCAACGAAGCCTCGAACAACATTTTCGCTAAGGAAAAAGTTGTTTCAAATCACCTCTCGAACCACCTCTTTCAATGACTTCCAATATTTTTCGTTCACCCTGTATATATACAAACATCTACCTCTATATATATAGATGAAAGCGTTTCATTTTATATTAAAGTATCATGTTACTTTTCTGGAATTAGTTTACAGGGAGACAGTACATTTTATATTAATTACTAATTGCTCACCGAAAACTATTACACGTATTTAGATAGCATTAACAATTTTTGTTTTTTTTTTTCTAAATCAAATTATGTTTCCACTCTAAGAACGTTCTTGAATAAATGTAATAATATAATTTTAGGTGGAGGACTACAGTAATAAGATCGCCACGCTGTTCAAAACGCACGGATATCGAAAGGGCGACGTGGTCGCTGTACTTTTGGAAAATCGGGTGGAGTTCATTGCAATCTGGCTTGGTCTAAGTAAGCTGGGAATAATAACGCCCCTCATTAACACCAATCTTCGTAAAACTGCACTCTTGCACAGTATCACCGTGTCTAAATGTCAGGCACTTATTTATGGCGCAGATTTCACCGATGGTAAGTACAAAATTCACGAAATTGCATTTTTATTTATTGAGTCCCATATGATAGAACTCAAAAATACGTTGGCACAATTTGATGTTTCGTATAGGAGAGTCAACAATTGGCATCTACAGAAATTTCTAAAATATATTCATTTAATATTGTATTTATATAATATAAAATATATTAGGTTGTCCCAAAAGTTTCTTCGGTAACTTGCACCCAATTATTTTGTGTGGCAGTGTTTATATAAATAGACAACCTAATTTCTTAGATGTTAATATTGTATAACAGTAATGAAGGAAAATGAATCGTACGGAATTTATAACATTAGACATAAAATATTGTGTATGTATTATTTATTAATGAAATGGAAGAAACTTTTGGGACAACCTAATAAATTATAATATGTTTATATTAAATAGATGTTATATAGATAGGTATTCGTATCCTGTATGTTAATTGAAGAATTTTGTCTAAATTAGGTGTAAAAAGTGGTTCGGGAGGTGATTTGAAACAACTTTTTCTTTAGCGAAAATGTTATCCGAGGGTTCGTTACGGAGATATTAACGGAGAACTCCGGACCAATCAGAGCCGACGAAGGGCGGCCGCCTAGCGCATGGCCTACGCCTACCGCGGGTGGTCCGCCGGCGTACTCGCGCTCTGATTGGTCCGGGCTTTTCCGTTAATATCTCCTTAACGAAGCCTCGAACAACATTTTCGCTAAGGGAAAAGTTGTCCAAAATGTTGATTTCTGCAACATATTAAAAGATCATCGAAATCGAGTTGCCGTCTGTAATCAAAATAGTTACCAACTTTTTTGTTAATAACTTTTTAATAAGCAGCGAGCGACGGTTAAGTTATTAGAAAAAGTTACTTGGGGACGTGTCCTTGACAACATATCTCAAGGTCATTGGAGCAGTGTCCCCTATTCGGCATTTTCACCAAAATAGTTTTGCTTAATCGCGACTTAATTTAAATAAACATAACAAAAATAAGAATTCTACCTTTTCTTAAAGGACCACCTTCCAAACAATTCGAAAACCACTGACGTCCAATTTATATGTAAATTCATTATATAAATTGGATTATCGTGACGAATTAATTAGTATTAATAATAACGATCAGAATAATAAGAAAACGTGCATCAAAAAAATGGAAGTAATCCTAAGGTAAATAAAAGGAGTTCCACTCGATTGGGATTTTTGTGCAATAAATAACATTCATCTCGACAGGAAAGTATCGTAAGTGATGTTATTGTTTCATTATGCACTGTAGAGCCGTGCCGCTGCGTCCGTGATGCAGCATCAATTAGGTAAATTGAACGAACGGTTATTGTGAAACACTTTGTCACGCGCGCATGCGGATAGTATCTAGTACGTGCCAAACACACGATTCACACGATCACCTGCACTCGAAGTGGGACGTCTCGTGTCGTTTCGTGATCATTGTACACTAATTATTAATTAGTCATTATTTATGTGTTAATTGAAGAATTTCAAAAGATTCATAAGCACATATTTTCATGATATATTGTATAATATTCAAATGATATGGTGATATATAAGGTGGATCAAAATTAAGTAGGGCAAATGGACTGGTTCCTTTTTATACTTATTTCGTCTAAGTATCGCAGACTAAAGAGAAAAAAAATAATTCAAATAATAAATAACAAATCATTGAAAAAATAATTTGGCCAGATAATTTGGCTCAAATTTAAGCTTTTATATTACAACAAATGGTTATGCATATAGGTTGACGAATTTGTCCGAAACAAATGCTAATATAATATGGAGAAAGACACGTAAGATTCCCATTTAGAAAAGTGAATTTGCTTTTTAAATCTCCTCCATTACTTTACTTCCAACTAAATCATTTACACTATATAATTTGTCCATCTGAACCAAATAACTTTTGTGATAACATTTCTCTAATAGTTTCATCCTTTTATGAGATAATCCTTCAGATTTAAACGATAAGCCCCTGTATACAGGGTATCTAAAAAATATTGAAGGTCCTTGAAAGGTGTACAAAAAGTTGTTCGGCGGGTGATTTGGAACAACTTTTTCCTTAGCGAAAATGTTGTCCGAGGCTTCGTTAAGGAGATATTAAGGAAAAACGTCGACCAATCAGAGCGCGAGTGTGCCGGTGGAGGGCGGTCGCCTCGCACGTAGCCCACGCCTACCACGGCCTACTCGCGCTCTGATTGGTCGGGGTTTTCCCTTAATATCTCCTTAACGAAGCCTCGGACAACATTTTCGCTAAGGAAAAAGTTGTTCCAAATCACCCCCACTCTGTATATACAGGGCGTCCCAAAAATGTTGTAACACCTTGAAAAGGATGGTTCGGGAGATGATTTGAAATAACTTTTTCCTTAGCGAAAATATTGTTCGAGGCTTCGTTAAGGAGATATTAACGGAAAACCCCGAACCAATCAGAGCGCGTGTGTGCCGGAGGGCGGTAGGCGTAGACTGCGGGCTAGGCGACCGCCCTCCGCCGGTATACTCGCGCTGATTGGTCGGGGTTTTCCCTTAATATCTGCTTAACGAAGCCTCGGACAACATTTTCGCTAAAGAAAAAGTTGTTTCAAATCGCCCTCCGAACCACCCCAATCAAGGGCCTTGAACATTTTTGGGACACCCTGTAGAATTGTAGATGATTAAATAATTGGTACCTATGTTATCGATTATATGTTAAACAATCGGAAGTAAGTTCACTAAAATAACTAAGGAAGATATTGAAACTTATAAAGCGGTCTTTTTCAACTTTTTGGATGTCATTCACCCAGGAAAAGGGAATTTTCATTGATTCCATTTTTCAATGATTTCAATGTAGAGAATTACTTCAAAATATTCTCGTCACAATAAATACATACAGTCGGTGTAAAAAGTACCCGTACAACAAAACATTTAAAATAAATGGTTCCTGTAGGAATACTTATTACACTGACTGTATCTATTACATTTATTAATCAATCGTATTTCTATATTTACAATATATATTGAAAATAAAGTGACACGAGCCACAAAAACTCACAAAAATGCTGGGAACATATTTCTGTAATTCTTGTTTTCTAAAATGCATATATAAAATACCTCTTAAATGAAAAATATATTACAGTAGATACATCTTTTCATTGCTGAGTTAATCAATAATAGGAAAAAAACCTCTATGCTCGTTTAATTTCACAAATTAGACTTAATAATTACACTAATGCCTACATGCAAACATTGAATAAACTAGGAAACGATCTTACAAAGTTATCTGCAAAAGTAAAAAATTTACATACTTATTTACGCCCGAGTGTACAAGAGCGCAGCAATGAAAAGCTTGAAGGCAACTTCGAATAAGTAATTAAAAATAAACATCGAAAAACAGTGAAATAAGTACTTAGTATAAACCATAGTTCATTGTGGATTTTCCACTAGAAAACGTATCAATAATTCATTACGAATAACTAATGGATTCAACGACACTGATACGCCAATTATTCCATGAACATGATGCCTCGTACGTCTTTCGTTTCTTTCCCCTTCATTTTAAGTACGTAATTGAATTCTCAAACATCAGTATACCGAAAACAATTTGAATCATTTTAGTTTACGCATTAATTCAAAGTTTGGAATCTCCTCTTTAGCGAGTCATTTTAATTTTCCAACATTTACATATTTGTACATTTCAACGATTCTCATTCTAAAATTAGAAATAGAAAAATTAGAAATTATTTAACGATTAACGGCATACTCGCGCTCTGATTGGTCGAGGAGCGCTACTGCCTAGCGCGTAGCGTACGCTACCGCGGGCGCTTCATCGGTATACTCGCAGTCTGATTGGTAGAGGAGCGTGGCCGCCTCGCGCTCTGATTGGTCAGTGTTTTCCGTTAATATCTCTTTAATAAAGCCTCGGACAACATTTTCGCTAAAGAAAAAATTGTTTCAAATCACCCCCCGAACCACCATTTTCAACGACCTCCAACATTTTTAGAACACCCTGTATACGTATATATATATTTTTTATAAATCATATTTTAGAAAAAGACTTGAATAATAATACACGAAATACTACCAATCCCCGCTCAATATTATCAATCTCTAACTCCTAAAATACTAAACAAAACTATTAAAAATGTTATTTACAATTAGTCCATACAGAAATAAATCTAAATATCTGTACGAAAATTTCAAATGTCTTTATTCAATATTTTCCTCAACTTTAATTCTTGAATAACCTCGAGAATGATTGTCTATACAAGTACAACCTCGTACCAAGCACATTGGAATTTTCACACGCACAATCTTCTATCAGTGCAATAAAATAATATTGACGTTGCGACACGTTCGTCTCATGAATGCTGGTCATTGCGTAGTCCTTGCTCTAATCATTGCTCTAATCAAGCAGTAATAGGAAATAGAACTAACTACTTCGGAATGGAAGAAAATTAGGTGTTCGGTTGCGTGCCGCCGTCGATTCAATACAAGGATCATTTTATAAATGATTGCGCAACAACGGTCACAGCTATTGCATTTACACGTTGACCACGAGCTATGCATTTAGAATTATTTATCAGAGCCATTATGTGCAAACTGGTCGTATTTCAGGCTGTTAATTATCATGAAATTATGCTTTATTACTTGTGGGCAATCATAAGTCACCATGCACTTAAACAGTTATCAACTTACTATTGTCTTCCTTTTAATCTTAGGTTTGTATAAACCCCTTCGGTTTATAAATGAACCTCTTGAAACACAAACTAATTAATTTCTATTTTTGGCAGGTTCCCAAGTTCACAAAATGATATTACAATTGATAATATACAGAATGGTGTATTTTTTGTACAAGAATATGATAGACTATCAAATCCTAAATAAAAAACTATTGACCTTTATTAGCCCTAAACCTAATAGGTAACGAGTAATCTCACTTTATTGAAAATGTTCTTAACGTAATGTCAAAATGGAGACTCAAACAAGTGTACTACAAATTCTTCGTAAAGAGAAACATCATTCCTGTCACCTAGCCCTTCATCAAGAGTTCTATGTCTCTACACATCGCTATCCTGTGGAAATCTGTGATAAGGTTGAATCTCCATCTTGATATTACGTTAAGAAAATGTTCCAGTAATAAAGTGACTACTAGTGAGTACTCGTTACCTATGAGGTTTAGGGCTAATAAAGGTCAATACTTTTATATTTAGAATTCGATACTCTACCATACTTTTGTAAAAAAAATATACCATTCCATATAAAAAACTAAAGGTCACCTTCATTTCTCAGAAAAGAGTATAAATAGGAAAGATTTATATATCTGGTTACATTGCACACAAAAAACCGTATAAATTTGTCCTCTTTCATTTTTTTGTCACATGTACCATGGCGTGGCTTTTGAAAGGTCCTGTATTTTATAAAACACAGTATATAATAAAATATGTATCTGAATAACAGTCATCAATTTACAAACTATTTCCAATTCAATTACACAATATAGTTTACGAAAGCATAATTGAAAATGTACTTATACATATACTACTTCTATATTTTTTTTATTCATAATAGTATGTTGAAAAATTATATACTACATAAAGTGGTTATACTTCCACAAATCTAATTTATTAAATATAATGTAGTTGGAAAATTTGTATAACAATGAACCTGAAAAATATCATACTGATATAATGATTACGATATAATGATTATTTGTAGTACAAAAATAGTGTCATATACATATTGTAGCTACAGTAATATAGTATAAATTAATATGTTCAAAATACGTGAACAGTTGAAGAAGTAAAAATAGATTAGAAAATTGATAAGTAACTGTTACGGTCAACCATTTCGTAGAAACGAATTTGCTTATTATTGTTTAAAGTACATGGTAAGCCAATTAGTTGATTTGTGAATAATTTATCATGGCTAAGTCTTTGTAATGTAAACAATTCAATTGCTAATTTGTCAATTTATCTTTGTTTTAGCTATCTCAGACATCTCGAGCTCGCTGGATCCGAAATTTGCATTATACAGATTTGGTAACACGCCGAATGGTAAAACATCAAAACTTAATGAGAAAGACTTAAACGCTCTTTTGGCTGATATCTCTCCAACTCCGCCAGTCCTTCAAGAAAAAGGCTGTCACAACGATAAGTTATTGTACATTTTTACCAGTGGTACCACTGGCCTTCCTAAAGCAGCAGTCATAACTAATGCTAGGTAAGAATCAACTAATACTCGAATATATTATTGTTAAAATAACTGGCAAACTCTATATTACAAAAATGGTTATTAAAAAGATTTAATTTTTGCAATTTTCTCATTTACGCATTCATCCTTTGCAAAGTCTTGAATATTTCTTTATTATGATCCTAATACTTCTCAATAATTACAAAATCTATCTGTTCACATTTTTTTATTGTAATATATCTTATTTATACATTAAATAAAAATAGTATGTACATAGTATATATTTATATGTATTCATTAAAAATACATCAGAAATAAAATATTCTAAAATAGCATCCGTCAAAAACTTATTATAAAATATTACATATATATTGATGAATGCATTTGTTTACATGTTTGTATATTTTTGTATAGTTACATATTATCATAATTGTACAATCATCCGCAGTTGAATTATAAGAAATATGGTTTTATAGTTGATATTCCTTCAGCATTTTAATTTTGATTTTTAACTCTTTCCAGGTATATGTTTATAGCGACTGGCATTTTCATGATGGCACAATTTAAAAGTACAGATAGATTTTATACACCATTGCCCTTGTATCACACTGCGGCTGGTGCAATGACCACAGGTGCAACTCTTCTCCATGGAGCGACTACAGTAATTAGAAAGAAGTTTTCAGCAAGCGCTTACTTCACTGACTGCATCAAATATAACTGTACAGTGAGTTATTCCCAGCTGTATCTTTGTTACATAAATATACATATATTTCAAATATGTATATATTATTATAAATTGTTTAAAATTGATACGCAGCTATTCTTATTCGTAACAAATGTTACAACGTACACTGCTCAAAATCATTGGGAGATATTATGGTATTAAATTCTGGAAAATCAATCAAGTACTTGCAATTTGTTTAGTCTGTACAACGTGAAAAGTTTTGCAAATATTTATTACCTGATTTGAATGAATACGCTCATAACCTAAAGCCTTACTATAGGCACTTTTCTTAAATTTACAACAATGAAGAGAGAACAATGTGATTTATTATAACAACTATGGACAACTTCCATTTTTTGTACTGTATTGAATACTAATTGTTTTTATTAAATAAACAGAATATATCCATTAACATGATTTCCATAAATGGGATTCATTTTGTTATCGTAATATAAAAAATACAATTATAAACATAAATTTTCTATAGGAAGAGATGTAATATTTAAGAATAATGAATAAAAACCTCTAATGGCAATGAAAATCTAATTTATTTTTAGATTGGTCAATATATTGGAGAAATGTGTAGATATATTTTGGCAGTACCTCCAAAACCAGAAGACAAGAAACATAACGTTAGACTGATGTTTGGAAATGGCTTAAGGCCACAGATATGGCCCGAGTTTATAGAACGATTTAATATTCCACGTGTTGCTGAATTTTATGGAGCAACAGAAGGAAACGCTAATATTGGTAAGTAGTAGCTGATTATATATATATTCTACATGAAGTTTAAAATATTTATTTTTATAAATTACATAATTGAATGATGTATTTTGTCAAATATAATTTTAATTAAAGATTGTTTAAATTGATCAACAATTTCAATACATCCAATAATAAACATTATTATAATTACAATTTTAAATGATGTCGAATATATATTAACACAAAGCAAATTTGATAAAAATATTCACATTTCATACACACATATAATTATTATATCATTGTATTATATTAATTATTACTGTTATTTATATTAATACTGTATATTAATACTGTTTTTTCAGTAAATACCAATAATACTGTTGGAGCTATTGGTTTTATATCTCGAATCATTCCATCGGTCTATCCTATTTCTATTTTAAAAGCAGACGCTGATGGAGAACCAATTAGAAATGCTAAAGGTTTATGTCAAGTGTGCGAACCAAGTAAGTATTTTATTTAATATGAGTACTTTTATTTTACATAAACTGCAATTAAAAACTCTCTTCATTTGTATCATTATTTCAGACGAACCAGGTGTATTTGTAGGAAAAATTATACCCAACATGCCATCTAGAGCATTTTTAGGATACGTGGATGAGAAAGCATCTCAAAAGAAAATAGTTCGTGATGTATTTACGAAAGGCGACTCGGCATTTATATCCGGTATAAATTGATTCTAATAAATATTACGCTAGAGAATTATTTATTAATTTTAACTACAACATTTTTTCATTATTGTTATTTTTTGATTATATATATTTATTTTTTACAAAGAATTGTAGTTATATTGGATATGCATTATTATAAAGTAAATACAGAAGTCCATGTAGTAATTTTTCCTTTCTTCTTATAGGTGACATTTTAATAGCGGATGAGTTTGGTTATTTGTATTTTAAAGATAGAACAGGCGACACGTTTAGATGGAAGGGAGAAAATGTTTCTACGTCTGAAGTCGAAGCTATTATTAGTAATCTTGTTAACTACAGAGATTGTGTAGTATATGGAGTCGAGGTAAATTTTTGATATTAATAATACAGCGAAACCCATTAAATTACATTTAGTATGATATTATTATGATTTTACTGTATTATTATGTAATGTAACAATGAAATCAAGTATAATATTCATATAATTTATAGTAATAATCGATTTGTGAATTTCTCAAATCTCTAAATCTTCGAATTCTTTTTTTAGGTTCCAGGTGTCGAAGGCAAAGCTGGAATGGCAGCAATATACGACGATAATGATACGTTAGACATCAATAAATTGTCAGTCAATCTGAAGGAACATTTGCCATTTTATGCGATACCTAGATTTATTAGGGTTTTAACGAAAATTGATCTCACAGGTAAATTTGTTAATAACTCATTTATTAAATTAATACAGAATTAAAGGTTGCAATTATCACATTTGAATATTTCATATTTTTAAATAATATAAACGTTAGATAATACATTTCAACCATTTAAAAAATCATGTTTCTTTTATAAAATCGTACAAAAATTCATGATATATGATTTGTTACTCTCGTTTGGATGGTACAACTGCTTCATTAAATTACAAACATTAATAAATACTGATTTCAGGCACATTCAAATTAAAGAAGAAGGATCTTCTGGAGGAGGAATACGATCCTAATAAGGTACAAGACAAGTTGTACTATTTGAGCGATAAGTCAGGATATCAGTTGTTAACCCCTGATGTTTATGAACAAATTAAACAAAGGAAAATTCGGTTTTAAGTTATGTTTTTAAGAAAGACAATTGATGGGAACAATTTTTGTTGCAACGTTATATAAATGCACCTTCGAAGTGAAGAAAGGCTTTTCATCTTCATTATGTTAAGTCAAAGGAACTACTTTACACAGAATTATCTTCTAATAGTAATTAAATTATCACTTAATTATTATTTTAATATAATTGCTGATGAGCTTATATTTCTTTTTAAATGAAATAATAGTAACGTATCAAATAAGTTGTATCGAAATTGAAACGAGAGATCTTTGACTTAAATAGCAGGTAAATTTTATATATTCTTAGGATTGGAGGTGAATGACGTTATTGTTATCACATTATGTATACATTTTATATAGGTTTGGTTGTAATTTAATACTCGTCATAAATATATAATAATTTTATTTTGAGATTAGAAACCTCTTATTTGAAGGTTACATCACAATTGTATAAAAAAAAATTGATTTATATTTATAAAAAGCGAAGTTAAATATTTTAAAGAGAAACTTATTCTAGAAGAGACATACATATACTGAGCGACAAAATTAGCGCAACAAAAAATTGTTATTAAAATTGAGTGAAATTTTAATAAAACTTTTTGTTGCGTTGAGTTTGTTACTCAGTGTATAATGTACATGTACGTACCTTGAGGATCTACAATTTCATACAAATTGCTAATTCTGGAATTATACATAGAGCAAAGCGTAAATAAAAAAATGTATTCTGTAACATAAAGTAAGCGTAAATCTTAGTTCAAAATCTAGACCACTGTTATATGTATCGTATCATTGTATCTATATTTTCCTATATATTATTTGTGTACCAGGTTCATGATTAAGTATACACAAATATATACGCTGTTGTTAATAGTGTTATAACACAGGATATTTAACATCTTTTTCATAAAAGAAAAAGAACTTCCGTAACAAAGAACATTGGATAAAAATATATATATTTATTACGTACATAGATGGTTACGATTCAAAGAAACATTCCATTATTATTCTTATTTCATTAAAACACATTACCATCTAATGATATTATCTACCCAGATTATTGAATTTTTGAAGTATGGTAATATTCGCTTTAATTAGTTTCACTGAATTTAGTTAACAATATTATGTAATAGTAAAAAGTAGTTGCCAAATACAAAATGAATATATAGTACATAAGAAAGAAAATATTGTTATTATTATACAGTGATAAACACAAACAAGAAACGTTTATTAAAGTATGATATTGGAATCATTATTTTTCATAACGTTTCTGACGTCAGTAATACGTGTAACATAAATGTTAGACATAATTTAACGTAATTAAACAATTCGAAAGAAAAAGAAAACGTTACTGGTGACGTGTACAATTTAAATGCGATGCAAATAAATTTTATATATATTTATATGTGTTATTTTTTAATTATTGAATTAAAGGTGGATAATTTTGGATGAAAAAGTAATTAATATGCAAATTATATAGATATATTCACATATAATTTACATGTAACAGTGGAATCGTATGGAAAATATATTGTAACTATTAATGAAGTACGATAATTGTAAAAATTATGTGCTTCCATAATTACATTTATCAACAGTCAGAAATAGATACACTAATTTCCATTCTAATGATTTTTTATTCGCAATTTACATAACATTCTAAAACTATTTATTTATTAAAAATGTGTACAAAATTTACAGAACAAATATTTTGAAAAATAGAAAAATAACAAATTTCGGAAATGATACATTCTAATTTCGTTTTAATAAAAATAAATAGTACAAAAATATAAAATGTTATAAAATATGAATGTTGTATATTTGCAGTATACATACTAGGTTAACATTTTTTGAAACTATATAAATATAATTTGCAGGTATCTCTAATAAATTATAAAAGTTTTTCACAATGTTGCAAGTACTGTATATGTATTATTATTTCATTTATATTATGTTTCTAAAATTGTATAAAATTTTTAATAGTTATACAACATTTCTGACCTTTTAAAAGAAGAAATTAAAACTAAATTGTGTTTTACAAATTTACATCTATCTATAAATGAAAACATTAAATTCTATATCACGACTTATTTAACATTTTATGTAGCTTAATCGTCAAATTTGAAAAGTAAATCTTTTTTATCCACAAGAACATTTTAATCTGTTCAAAATCTGGTCGACTTTAATATCTATATATTATGCTATTGATTCAAAATATTTATAAGTGTAATTAAATTGTTACCGAGACCTTAATACATAATATTATATTCCATAAGAACTATATTTTAACAGTATTCGTGTATTTGATATCTTATATACAGATATGTTACATTTTATATGAAAATTATAATATAATTTTCCTGCTGTTAAAACGGTTCGTAAAATCGATTTATTGGTTCAGTAATGAAGATGTAAGAGAGCCTAATATACCTTCACTTAACATAAATTGCAACTGGGTAGCAGATATTTCTATAGTGCATAAATTACAAGAATTTACGAAAATTGTTAATATTGTATAAATATTTGGGTGTTTTTTAAGGTATGTTTATATTGTTCCAGTGCTGAAAACTTGTTATTTGTTACTTTTTTTAAATAAAAGTTTTCTATTTTTTAAGAACATTGTTATGAAATATTTATGTCGACAAAATAAACTTGAACTATTTACAATTCGATTGTCTCGTGTATGACAATTAGGTAATGTAATCTGATTTATACAGCTTAGTGCTCAAAAATATTCCAAATTTTAACATTGCTCCATTTGCAGGTTCGAGGTAAATATCTTCTTCGACAACCCAATTGGTATTTGTTATCTCTAAAAGAAAAAAATAAAACATTCACAAGTTCATGATTATTCAATGACAACAAAATATTGTTTCGAGTACTATGAATATAAAATTCAATTGAAAATATTCAAATATTCAACAAAGTTTCATGTAAATATTGATTGTATAATACATTGTAAATGTACTAATCCTTTTTATCATTACAGAAAATAGTTATAAAGATATAACCCAAAATTTCATTAATGAATCAACAGTTTCTTACTCACTTGGATCAACTGGTGATGGTTTTGAAAATAAAGTTACACGTGGTTTCTTTATTATTATCTTCTTCAGGCATTTTAACTTTTCCAGCATCTGTTACAAAATAATATAAAAAAGATTTGTTGTTGTAAAATTTCTCAGTATTATAAGAAAAACTATTTTTCTAAATATAGTAATTAATTACCTCAACCAATTCTCTTGTATGATACGGCTGAAGAGCAGGAACAAATCTATTCTGTACTTTAGTTAATGCTATACCTGGATGGTTCATACAGTATGTTAATATTGCTCCTAACATGCGATCAAGTACTCTACGATTTAAGGCTCCATCTATTCGTATCCACGGTTTTATTACAACCCTTATTTCTTGTTTCGTACTACAACACACATGTCAGCGAATGAAAATGTTATTACGATTCAAAGTGATATACCAATTTTAATTATAATTGGTAAATTTCTAGAGACTGAAAGTAAGTTAATAATTGCTATGCAATCTACTTTCAGATCTCTCTTTAAAGTTATTAAACACTGCATATTACTTTTACACTTAAGCGTAGCATAATCTTTTAATAAATAAGTTTTTCTAACACAACGTTGTTTCCCTTGAGTTAATAATTCAGTCTTTGAGTGTTATTTGTTTTCACACATATTTTAGACAAATTACATTGCTTTGTAATTGAATATAGAGAATAGTTTTTCTTCATCGGATCATAAATCCATAATTTTTCTTAAATGGTTCGTACCTTCTTTTCTTGTCTTAACTAATAAAATATTACTATTGATTACAAAATTAGATTCTACTCTATTCTATTCTCTATTAATATACAACTTTTAATAACTTTGGAGAGAAAAATAAAAGTAGATTCAATACTACTCTACGCTAAAAAGTATACATGTCGAATGGCATAACCTCCTCCTTTTTTGAAGTTGATTAAAAAGTATGTTACGCAATAGATCACAACAAATTAATACTTCCAGGTAATACTACAGGGTGATTATAATAACTTCGAATAGAAGAACAGTACAAAAGTGAACTTACGCAAGATCTAATTGCTTCGCAGCCCTAGATATATCTCTCTGGGGTAGTAAACGAGTCCTCTTTCGTTGCATTCTCTTTTTTGTGAGCGTAATGCACTCTTCATCGCTGTGACTAGATGAATCCTTATCACAATCTTCAATTTTGTGAGTTTTTACTTCTGACTGTGTGTCCGATATAATTGGTTCTTCATCATCAATCCTTGGTGACGAAGGATTCTTCTCTTCGTTGTTTGATATAACACTGGCATCGTTAGATTCTTTGGAAAAGTTTAAGTCATTGCCTTCAGTTATTATTACTTCAGGTTCTGTCACATACACTGTTCCCCTGGGCATCGGTGTAAGTGATTCCTTCTTGAGACGACAAATTTTATATGAATCTATTAACCAAGCATCAGCATGACGATGGTGTATATAACGAACAGTTGTTACACCAGCCCGCAAGAACAAACGGTGTTCAATAAAGAGTGATACGATGTACTGCAAATCTTCGCCCATGGTACTCTCAAATTCATTCTGTACAAAAGAAGAAAAAAATGAACATAGGTATGCGAATCAAGTTTCAGTTTACAGAAATGTATTCGATGGTTACAAAATATATGTTTTTGGAGACACGATTAGAATTGTTCATAGTTTAAATAATTTAGATACGAATAGCAAGTGTTTTAATTGCTATAAATGATAAATTAGTTAATGATAGTCAATGTGTTACTGAATTCTTCAAAAGTAATTTAATTTAAGTTTCAGTTTACAGAAATGTATTCGATGTTTACAAAATATATGTTCTTGGGGACTCGATTAGACTTGTTCATAGTTTAAATAATTTAGATACGAATAGCAAGTGTTGTAATTGCTGTAAATGATAAATTAGTTCAAAAGTAATTTAATTTTAACTTACCATCAACTCCTGAATACTGGCACCAAGTTCTTTTTTATCCCGTATAAATTTATACACTGCATCCATATTATTCAAATCCAACGAAGAGTCTTTGAGTAAACTTTTCTTAAAATCGGTATACGAGATGCTGTCTTTCGGAAAAGCGGCAAATTTATTTATCTCTTGAATTACATTATTTGCCACGCACAATCTTAAAGGTATCAATTCCGAAGGTAACAAAAAATGTCTGAAAATTTCATTTCCACTGGAATTTTGTGAATCTGACTCATGCAAGGAATACAAAATTTTGAACATATTTACAACGAAATAATCGTGTGCATGATGGCTGTCAGCTGTTGTAAGTTCACTCAATTCCTCTCTCATTCTTAACAGAGCTATTCGAGTAAAACGTTTTTTTTCGTCTGTTGAGTCATCAACCTTGCAATACTGATACAAATAATTTGGTTCGAAGGATTTATTCTTTAAAATATCACTGACACGTGTAAACTTTTGATTATTATCTTTTTTCGACAGTAAATTGCTTTCACTTTCTTTATTTAAAATAGCTTTGTTGCTGATTTTTGTATCATCGGCACCTTCTTTTGTACCAGTTTCTTCTTCTTCTTCAGTTTCCTTCGCAGAATTCTTTCTTAACTCTTGCTTTTGTATTTCATCCAATGATTCAGTTTTCTTCGCAGAATTCTTTCTTAAATCTTCCTTTTGTATTTCATCCACTGATTCAGTTGACGTAGCATGGTTGCTTGGTACTGTTTTATAATTCTTTTCGACATCCACAATTTCATTATCAATTTCTGTTTTTTCCTGGCCGTGTTCATCTAAATTACACACTTCATTATCTGGTTTCACTTTTTCCTGGTCATGTTCATTCGATTCAACCACTTCGTTATCTGGTTTCACTTTTTCCTGCTTACGTACATCCAATTCAAACTCTTCGTTATCCAATTTTGCTTTTTTCTGCACGGGTTCACCCAATTCAAACACTTCATTATCTAATTTTGCTTTTTTATTCAAATTAATTACTTCCTTATCTGTTTTTACTTTTTCCAGGTCATGTTTATTCAACTCAACCACTGCGTTATCTGGTTTTGCTTTTTCCTGCTCACTTACATCCAAATTAGACACTTCATTATCTGGTTTCGCTTTTTCCAGCTCATGTTCATTCGATTCAACTACTTCATTATCTGGTTTCGCTTTTTCCAGCTCATGTTCATTCAATTCAACCATTTCATTATCTGGTTTCGCTTTCTCCAGCTCATGTTCATTCGATTCAACCACTGCGTTATCTGGTTTCGCTTTCTTCTGTACAGGTTCACCTGAATAAAACACTTCATTATCCACATCTCTTCCTCTCTTACTTCCAGTGGTAATCAATTTCTGTTGTGCATCCATATTTAATTCTAAACACGGTTGAACTAGAACTGAGCTTTTCATATTCAACGAACCATCACCATTATTTTGAATTTGTGTTACGTCCACAGATTTTAAAAGTTTATCCTCAGCAGTTGTAGCGTTCTGTATTTGTGCTTGACTGGCCTCTTCAAGATTATTATCATCCACTAAAGAAGTTTTACCTTCTTCCTGCGAATTTTCGTCGTAGGATTGTGAACGTTCCAGATCATTTTTGTTTAATACGATTTTAGTTCCATCTTGAAACCTGATTACATTGTCTTCGTCGTCTGCTACAGTGCGACCACTCTCTTCGTCGCTATCGAAGGTTAGTACATCGTCATAGTCGACACAACTTTTCGCATCCTCGAAATTCTTGTCTTCAGTATCGTATTCATGCGAAGATAAATTCTTCTCAATATCCAGATTCGAAAAGCAATCTTTATCCAATTTCTCATCCACATTAAGAACATTCGTATTGTTGCAAACGTCGACGTCAGAATTAAAACATTTCTCTTGTTCGCTTTTTTGTAGTTCAGAAACAGGAGGCTCTTTTGAAAATTTCAAATTGTCCAAACTAGCTAAAACAACTTGATACCTTTGAGCGATTCTGAAATAAGTTTCATCTTTTTCTTTCAGTCTTGGATCCAGCATTATCACTTGGTCAGGTATTTCGATATCGAAATCCATTTGATCCTGTACTACAAAATCATGTATCGTAACAATCAAACCACCTGTAACTGGCAATATTTCAACACCGTTGGAAGTGTTCGATGCATCATTCTGGTTATCTAATTGTTTTTGACTGTACCAATTAGCAAGTTTTAAATAAACATCATACGATTCTGTAAACAATTCATAAGGCCATGTAGTGTGAAATTTATATATATAATTACTGCTCAACTGATATTGAGAACTACTCATTGGCATATAATTTCCATACTTTCTTATCGTAGGCAACGAAGACTTTTTCACAGTAACCATTTGATCAGCTCGAATCTTTGTCATGGCATTTCGTAGGAGTGTCTCCGGATATTGTTGATACACTTTGAACAACTGGTACGCCCAGGACCTTCTGTCTTTTCCACAACACATGGAGCTATGAATAACAGAGTTTATAACTGCAGAATGTATATCATTAACGTTTCGAACATCTTTTGTGAATCCATGATTACCAAATTGCTTCGGGGGATGCACTACCTTATAAAATATATTAAATTCTTGCACCGACTTAGGCACCGGAAGAGGTTCCTTTGCTTCGACATCAGAAATATCATAATACTTTTTCCCAATGTAAGCAACAAGTGACTTGAAGGTCTCCGTAACTTGTTTCTCAAACTCATAAGTATTCTTGTATTCTTCTTTAAGCCTTTCGATGATCCCATCGAAGCGTTTCCTGATGTAAAAGTTCTGTTTCATTTCTGCGACTCCTAAAGCGATGGCATTGTCGTTCTGTTGTTGTCTGAGCATGTATAAAAGTCGTCGTTGACAAGCTCTAGAGGTTTTATTATACGAAACGAGGGAATACATTCTTAACACGTCTCTCACCATGGAAAATGTTATTACTTGTTTGCGTAAACTTGGGCAAAGGTACACCATAGCGATCTTGCAAACGAGTAGAATCTTATCTTCGCATGGGTCCCAATCTACTCGCAATTTGTGCATTCGTTGCAAAGCTCGATGATCAATTTCGTCGTATTTTGTTCTTCTTCTATAACTAGTCTTACGTGGCAATACTCTTCTGACGATAGACTTCTGTTTCAGGTTTCGATAATGAGGTAATGCTTCGTACTTTTTCAATTGGTTCAAGCCTTCGTCAGGTTTAACCTGTACCTTCTTTCTAAGATCTGCCGCAGTCACAGAAGGAGGGCCAGATACCCTCTTCAAACCAGGAAACTCTGTGAACTTGATAGGTTTTGCTTTTATTTTGGAAAGATACACATCCCTTTCGTGTTGTACGGTCTGCTGAGACTTTGTTTGATGCGTACTGCTGCTAATGCCCCAATTCCAATTGCGTTTGAGATGAGCGAAGAATGCTGAATCTATTCCAGCAGCACCTTTGCGATCACCAGGCACATGACCAGTGTCCAATCTCACAGCTTCTTCTGGCGTACGAGCCACCACTGCTCGAATCATGTCACTTTTCTTAGTCACGTCTTCCAATACTATATCTTTCCCTTGAACAACAAGTCGACCACCTAATGATGTATTTATACACGTATTCCACAAATCGTACCAATATTTCTCTACCACATGCATTCCATCAAAGTTATATTTGATTACAGGATAGGGTTTATCCTCAATCATGTGATAACTAGGCGCGGATGAAGTTGTATCCATTATTTCTGTACGTCGATTCACATAAATGAACACTTGGTCTTTCTCCTTCAGTCTTTGGGGCCCGAATTGTACCAACCCGATGTAACACAATCTTGTCACTGTTTCATGTACGTTGAATATATACTTTCGTGCATGTAGTAAAGCGTTTCGTGTGTCAAGTGGTAAATCTCTGACTAAATAATGCTTCCGAATGGGATGGTTCGCATATTTATCCAAGTCCGGTATACCAAAGGAAAGGAAATGGATTTTTAAGAATATAGACAATGGCAATCGTAATAGAATGTCACACATTAATGCCCATCCTTGGGGCCAACCTGAAAAAGATATATGTATAATTCATCACTGTGAATTAACTTGCGTCTTGAAACAAATACACTGTTTGAAAAATCGGATGCACCACGCTTCTATATTTTAATTATAATATTATAAAGAGGTAAATTTTGTTTGTATGTAAAGAGTAATTTCTGGAACTATTGAATTGATTTTTAACATTTGTTCACTAATATAAACCCACACTATTTCTTAGTAACATTGGCTATATTTTATTTTGATAAAAATAAGATTTCGGTTGAAGATCTCAATACTTGTAAATAAAGTTGGCATCACGAAAGTTGGATTCACGAAGGAGCACGTGCTAAATAGTCAGTCGAACGCGAATGACGTAAAATAAATAGTATTCCAGATGGGTGAAAACGTGAGGTGCAATTAGTATACAATAAAACTGTATTATTCCAGACTAATTGAAGGACTAGATAATCTGAAACGTCTAACACCTATTATTTCCACTTATAGTACGAAAATAATACTAAAAAAGTGCATAAATGACAACAAATGAAAAATATAAGAATAAGATTTAATTGAACTTAAATTCTTTTGGAATAACATCATTTGAAATAATATTTCAAACACTTTGTATTTTTTTAGACTACTTTCTTATTTAACCGTAGCAAATCTTTCAAATCTGTCTGCGTTATTAACCACTAATTGATAATCAATAATTCAACCAACAGTGGACGCTAGTGAATAATAATTGCTTGAATCGTCAATAAAAAGATTTGTTCCATAACACCTAGCTTATACTGTGTATTTGTAATAGTGAAAGAAAATAGATGCTGCATTAATAGATAACAAGGAAGATAATAATTATAATTACTCACTGGAATTCTTCGGCAAAGGTGGAATAAACATTTTCCAACTTATCTCCGAAGAGTAAATTGTACTGAATTCGCTTATCAATTCATTAGGAACATTGAAACCATTATCCAGCAAAGCTTTTATTTGTTCTTTCTTTGAAAGGGTTTGTTCACCGGGATGTTCATAAATTAAATAGAACAAAAGAATATGTAACGCTTTCATGCGTATGAATTTTGGACTGTATCCATACTTTTTCGAACCTCTCTGAAATTAATGAACCAGTGTTATATTATTTCATTGCAAATAATTTATTTACCAAGAACATTTTTTGAAAGCGATCAATATCTATATAATTAAAATAAATATTCATCTTATATCTACTAACAGAAAATTAATATTTCATTGTTTAGTATCCCATAAACACAGAATATTCTAATATTTGTCCATTCGTTAAACAATAGATTAGTTTATTTCATCAATTATATATAAATTCTTGCGAAAGCTACTGTATATTTTCCATTGATTACTTCATAATTATGGAATTGTACAGCGATACAATTTTAAAATCTAAAACAAAGTAGATACTTACGGGTCCACATTTAGAAACTTTCGATAACATTTTAAATCCAGATGAAGACTTATCTTCGGATTTATTTGCAGTATCATCAGTATTACTATTTTTACTAGACTCTGACTTCCCTGAACATCTTTTCGCAAATGATTTGGTCCTCTGAGATGATAGTACGAAATAAAATTTTAATTTCGCTTGCTCTACAGCGGACTGAATAACAGGACTGCTGATATCCAAATTTGGGTTACATATAAACGTCATACGTTTCTCTTTTCCATTTAAACTGAGTGTTATTCTAATACTTTTCACAACATTGTCAAGTTTTCCTAACAACCTTATCAATGACTTTCTATCTATTTTTACGTCATATCCTTCCTTGTCTTCTTCTTCGCATATCATCTAAAAAAAAGTTACTTGGTGTAAAAAATTATAATTAATGTAAACACTATGTTTTCTTAGTTGTACTATCAAATGGTTTGTTAATGTATTCCTGTATTATAATTTTATATTCATTAAGTAGGTATTTACCATTACATAAATACAGGGTGTCCGATGTAACACTTTTCACAATTTTTCAAGTTAACGATACAAAGTGTAGTTTAAAAAAGTGAAGGTGACCTTGACAGTTATAACAAACAATTTGTTTCTCTAACTTTTTGTATTGCAATGTATAGCCAATCAAAAACTGATCAACATTTGTTTAAAATATCTTTTTTCCAGGTTATCGTAAGCACTTGAATAATTGTGAAAAGTGTTACATGGGACACCCTGTATACAAGTATAGTATAAATAAGTATATATGAGTATCCACGAGTAGAAAAAAATACCTGTAGTAATTAAAAACAATAGTTTTGTTTCCTTATTATCCTACCTTCATCAATTTTGTCATGTCATCAATAACTTGATGTTCTTTAACCGATTCTATAATCATATTAGCTCTTCGTAACAGTCTGTATGTAATATTCGACATATTGTTCTTTTCGCTGTTTTGTACGTCTTCCATTAATCCAAATATTTTATTATCTGATTTTAATGTATTTACTGGCGTTAAAACTTTGTACTCGACTTTTATGTTTTTATACGCAACTGCTGATTTTTCCTTCCTCGACAACTCTGACAATACATTACTAGAATTTATACTTTCATCTTTCACCAGTGCTTTATTAATTTTACTTGATTGAATATTCGAAAACGTTCGTTTATATTTATTTCGACGTTTTGTTAAACGATATTTATATAATATCCGATTGACAACATAAAATGTTTTTTCTATGTCTGTCATGGATGAACTTGGTTTCTCTTTTACATTGGCATCATTGTTTTCATTGTCTTTGCTAGTTGTATCGATTTTAGTTACTTCTTCTACATTTCTTTTCTGATTACTAATAACAGTATTCTCCTTTTCCTCTATCGCAGTTATACTTTTCTCAGGTTTATCACTTTCAGTTACAATATGCTTCGTAAGCTCTTTGATTTTATACATTTCCTTCTTTAACTGTTTACTTAATTTACTACCTTTCTCAAATTTTTTTGATACATATTTTGTAAGCCTTTGTCTGCCTATATCGTTCATGTAAGTAGCAACAATGTCCCTTTTAACTAGGTTTCGCAAAATTGTCCTGGAATGTAGTTTGGTCAGCCCCATATTTTTACCCAAACTTCCTTGGCATAAACCTTCGCTTCCACTTTCTTCAATTATTCTATTCGCTTGCTTTAAATAGGGCACATTGTATTTATGACTTGAAATATTTAACTCTGCGAAACACAGGAAATATTTAAAGATTCAGTCCATTTATTATATATTTATATTAGTCTTTACTAATAACTACTAAATGTCTTCATAACTCATAAAGTTTATCTATGGTAACATTTAAGAGATCTCACTTTCGAAGTCAATATAATCTTAGCATTCATGATAATAGAATCCTAAAAAAGCATTTCAAGTTGCTGACACATACCAGAAAAAAAGGCCTAGAGTCCAAAGAGTTAATATTATATTAAATTAGTTTGAAGAATTGAATAATACAATAATCAGTAAGTTTTGTTCTTCAACAGAAACTAATACATGTTTTTAATTCATATTATTTGCCATTATTTTTAAAGCGATTTAAGGTATGAATCTATAAAGTAATATTTTTTAAATCACTCATTTCTTCGAAATTAAAATAACAGGATATTCATTATTTTCTTACATAATGTTAAATATTAACATTTATGAATTGTGAAGATCTATTCTAAAGAGTCAAAAACATTAATATTTGATTGTTTGTAGAGGTTAGTAAACAGAGTGAATATTCAAATTCTTTGTATAGCGAAACTCTTGTATGAATAATTAATTAGAAACTACAAAATAATAATTTAATTTTAATCCTTGGCACTCGAAATGCTTTCTTAGCATTCTATTGCCACAAATGCTAAGCTTAATCAGGTCACCTTTACCTCATCAATAATCATTTTATTGACACTTCGAGAGAAATTAAACCTAAACAAACATTATTCTTGATCGATTCACTGTGTCAAACCTAGTAGTGACTGAGAGTCACCTCTTGAGTGCAAAGGATTTTATTTCTTAAACCACAAGAACGTATTGAACACTATAAATAACAAAAAATTAATGAACGAACCATGTGATTCATCCTCTTCCTGTATATCATCTTTAGTCCATGCTTCCATAACATCGATAGTGGGATGTAACAATTGCACTACTTTAATTTTCTTTTCCTTTGCCGGAGTATACTTTCGTTGCCATTCTATAGGTTTAGCATTCGGGTACAAAGTTCTATATGGCACCATCTATTTAGAAATACAAATATTACTTTTTAAATAATCTAAGAATAAGTAATATTCTTTATTCAATATTCATTACTTACTATATCTGTTTTCACAACTTTTTGGAAGAACGAAGTTTTAAATAATTTCCTTATTGCATTCTCAAGCTGCAACTTGCGTTTTATTTCATCATATTCTGCAATGTAATTAGGTTTCGATTTAAGTATTTTGATAATCTCTTCGGCTAAGAAAATTACTTTTGGTTTCCTCTCGACAAAGAACCTTGGAAGATGTAACAGGCTTCCGGTGCAACTATGACAACCACTTTTTTGATGATGCACTTGTTTCGTTATTAACCTATGCCGTAGCAATAACTTTCGATGATAAAACAAACTCTTAGGATCTTCTTTTAACGCATTAAGACTAAGTTTTCCTTGAGTAACTTCACCATGATAACGTGATCTACCTACTCTTTCTAAAAAACAATATTGTATCGCATTTAATTCAAGTGTTGGTAGTACTTCGTTTCTGGTTAATGCATGGTTTCGTGCTGATTGTGATGCAACGATAACTAGTTTTTGTCCATATTTTTCTGTAACCTCGTCTAAACTAAGGTTCCTTGCAGTTTCTGTAATCTCTTGACGAGTATAATATGTTGAACAAGATCCTTTGATTCCCTTGGTAGTATCGTATATAGGATAATGTGGGTAAATGTCTGGTGGTACATCATCCTATAAAAATATGTTTGCAATTTAATGGTATAACAGTAATAGTATAATAAATTTCTTTTTGAATACTCACTGGTTCTAATATTACACCTAAATCAGGATCTACAAATTCGTAACGATCATAAATTACGAGTGGTTCTCTTGGAGTTTCTAGCTCATGAAATCCAAATTCTCTGATTTGCACACATATCGACCATATTTGAACCATGAATGGTTTTGAAAATGGCAAGGGATTGTGAAGTCGTTGTGCTAAACGTGACCATAGTGCTGCAAAAGAAACTAAGCATTATGCAAAAAAACTATAATATTGGGTATTTGAGAAAGTTCGTGGCTTTTCGCAACCATTTGTATGATTTCATTGCATTGTGCTGTAATTGGTCGACCACAATACATACATATAAGATGAATGAAATTATATAATAACTAAATTATAGGCGCTACTATATTTTTGTCTGTAATTGATACAAAATTAAGTGATCCATTATCGATTATAATGTATTCAAATTTGTAACATTTATAATCACTAAACTGCGGATCTTTATGCAAAATAAAATCTTTGCGAAAAGATCCACAGTCTAGTAATCACTAACTTTTATTTAAATCCATCATTCATATGAAATTAGATATACAGGGTGTCCCAGTTTAAGTGATACGGAGCTCTAACTCCAAAATTATTGATCGAATGCAATATTAAAATTTCACCGAGAAGGAATCTTTGTTAACTTTGTTATTTAATGAGACATGATGGTCAAGTTTCGTTTTTCAAATGGAACTATATATTTTTTTTCATACCATGCAATAGTACTTTTTTAGACGAATTCATTAAGCTTTAATGTATTTACCCGATTTTTATTAGTTATAGCTATAATAATAGTAGATATTAGTTATAGTTATAGTTATAGATATTTATTAGTTATTAATACAAGCTATAACGCTTCAAAGTTTGCTCATTTTCAAGGAAAGGACTCGGTTCGACCCTGGGTGGTCTCATTGATACAGTAAGCACCATGCGGTTCTTGAAATCGATACGGAGGGTCTTGTTTGGGATTCTTCTCATTTTCCTTCCTTGAGTTCCATATCACTTAGACTGGGACACCCTGTATTGTAAAACTAAAGAGCTAATTAATGAAATTAATACATTCGTTGACAGTTTCAAATTAGATACTTATAAGTTGAATAGATTACCAGTTGAAAAGATATTTAACTGCAATCAATGAAATACTTAATAGTACTATAATAGTATATATAATATATGTAATAGTATAATACTATTAAAATTATTAGCTGTACGAATGAAAATAATGTGTATTTAGATTAATATTAATGTTTACTCTAACCTTCTATAGTGATACCATCCAAACCTTCCAATGCAACCTCATCAATGATTAAATCTACCAAATTCATTGATGGATATGACACCATATTTAATGATACCTCAAATACACTGCAGAATATTAACAATCTTTCATATTTTCATTGTTTTTACAATTGTCAAGATAAGGGATTAAAATGTGCTTTTATAATTCAAATCAATCACATCAACGACTCCTGCCACTCGGTTGTGTGTGATGCCATATTTGGCTCCTGCGCATGCGCGTCGCAAAAGCTCAGCGCGCAGTGCCGTAGCTGTAGGAAACTCGTTGGGCGTTAAAATCAGGAAAACCGTTTTTATAATTATAAAAATTGTGTTTCGTCTGTAAAATTATTTAAACCGTTATCCCTATGTTATAATTTATCCACACAATTAATATTATTACATGCTAAGAAGTTTTATGGTCGTATTAGATACTGAATTTTAAGGAAAAACGTCAACCAATCAGAGCGCGAGTATGCCGGTGGAGCGTAGGCTACGCGCTAGGCGGCCGCGCTCATACTTGCATTCTGATTGGTTGTTCCACCGGCGTACTCGCGCTCTGATTGGTCAATGTTTTTCCTTAATATCTCCTCAACGAAATCTCGGACACCATTTTCGCTAAGGAAAAAGTTGTTTCAAATCATCCCCCGAGCCACCCCTTTCAATGACCTCCAACATTTTTGGGACACCCTGTATATTATTTCCTATAGCTACAGCACTGCGCGCTTTTTCGCGCATGCGCGGTAGCCAAATCTGGCATCAATACGAATCTGTCAAATTTGAGATGGCACCAATGGCACCACAAACAGAGAATAACACGTGTTTGAAGAATTCTCCGAATTCTTTCGACTGTTTAAATAATTTATACATGAAAACCATTTATACATGTAGCGCGTTATCTTAAAGTTTGCTTATTTTATATACTACGTTATTAAGAGATAAAACTGTACCAAATATATCGTTAACCTGGGAATCAAGTATAACCTCCACGATGGTGAAAGAACAGTTTAGAGAAACCGACGTAGCACGTAAAATGTACGTCTATTATTTTAATGAATTTTCAAACTTTTAATTTTAATTTACATGTAGCAAGGAGATTTGTAATATAACCAAATTTTCTGTTGAAGTATTCTTTGTATTTATACAAATTATAAATTCAAATTATGTATAGAACAACTAAGATGATCTAATTTATTTAAGTAATATTTGTAACTTTTGTATCTATTTTATTTCTAATTTGAACTACGATTTTTGTTCGATTAGTTCCCATGTATCGTTCGGGGTAGACAGTCGACATAACATGGAACGGCAGGCCCATATGCATGTTGTTGCCAAAAACTTGTATAATCAGGATGTCGAACATACTCCGGTTCCCTATGGAGTACTCGACAGAAGAATGGTATTTATGCGAATAGAGTTCTTTACTCTTTTCATCTATTATACATTAACGTTTCGATGATAACGTACTTAAAATATAAAATATAAAATAGTAATGGGTAGTATTCGAAAAAGTTCATGGCGTTTTGTTGCTTGATCAAGGCGAGAATGCTACGCAGGCTTGTGAAAAAATTTGGGGTTTTTACTGACAAACTACTCTATCAAAATTTTCATGTCAAACATACATCCTGCTGTGGTCGCCCAATCACAGAACGATGTGATAAAATCATACAAATTATTGAGAAACGTTACAAACTTTTTCAAATACCCAATATGTTAACTAAATCTGATATTACCACTAGGAGAAAACTATCTTACAAGGAAAATAAATATTGCTAATTAGTATTCTAATTTATAATTAGACTGTCGATCTTTATACATTTATTGGAAATTTGAATGTGTAAGTACCTACAAAATGCAAACAATATACAAGAATATAAAAAAGATTGAAAGTAAAGTTCATGTTATAACATTTGCAGAATAAAAATAAATTTTTATTTAGGTCTGGTTTGTGTAGGTTCTTTTGCAAAGATTTTATTTTGCATAAAGATCCACAGTCTCTATTTATTATTATCTCTGTTCACCATATATCAAATTAGTAACATATTTATATCCATCATCTCTGTATTAATATTGCCATCGAACTATTTCAATTTGATAACACAAATTTTCAGGGAACATGTAACAACACAACAAATTGTGTATCATGCGGCAAATCTTTGAATGAATGTATAGGACACTTTGGTTACATCGATTTGGAACTACCAGTTTTTCATGTCGGTTATTTCAGAGCCATTATTGGTATTCTTCAGTCCATTTGTAAAGTAATTTATCATTCATTTCGTTTATATTTACACTATTTAATTGTAATTATAAATTACATATTTACATAAACAATAAATTTTGATATTTTAATTTGTAGAGTTGTTCTCATGTCATGCTATCCGAAGTTGACAAGAAACGTTACTTAGCCAGAGCGTTAAATCCAAACCTGGGATATTTATCACGTAAAGCTTTACGAAAACAAATTTTAGATAAAACTAAGAAGACAACGGTTTGTCCAAATTGCAAAGATCTTAATGGAACAGTTAAGAAGGCTGGTTTGCTTAAAATAGTTCATGAAAAGTATAAGGCAAAGAAGAAAACAGATACTACTGTTCAAGAGAAGCTAGCGGAATATAATAATGTACTCGAAGATAACAAGGCATTGGAAGGAGTACTTCAAAGTGGATTAATTAACGTATTGAATCCATTAGAGGTAATAATATTATATTATTACACTTTAAATATTTTACATATATTAATACCGATACAAATGACATTTCAATTTAAGGTACAAAGCATTTTAGAAAAGATACCAGAAAACGACATTCCGCTACTAATGATGAATCCAGAATGTGCGTTACCAAAGGATTTAGTGCTAACAAGAATCCCAGTGCCCCCGATTTGTATCAGGCCTAGCGTTGTATCAGATATGAAAGCAGGTACAACCGAAGACCACTTAACCATGAAATTATCAGAAATAGTTTTTATCAACGATGTTATCCAAAAGCATAGACAAAGCGGAGCGAAAGTACAAATGTATAGCGAAGATTGGGAGTTTTTACAATTACATTGTGCTCTTTACATTAACAGCGAAATGTCTGGAATACCTCTTAATATGCAAGTGAGTTTTGAACGTGTTAAAATTATCTACTTTTCTGTTAATAAAATATAACTAATAAAATATTATAATGGTTCAGCCAAAAAAATCTGGCAGGGGTTTGGTACAAAGATTAAAAGGAAAGCAAGGTCGCTTTCGTGGTAACTTATCTGGTAAACGTGTGGATTTCTCTAGTCGTACTGTCATTTCGCCAGATCCTAACCTTAGAATCGAACAGGTAAGCTTTAGTTTACATTTAAAGTGTTTATTAAATTGTTTAACAGTTTAACTATTCAAAGACGTTAAACATGAAGAATACATTTTTAATTAGGTTGGTGTGCCCATCTACGTTGCAAAAATTTTAACGTACCCTGAGAAGGTTAACCCGTCAAATATAGAATTGATGCGAAAGCTAGTAAGGAATGGGCCAGATATACATCCAGGTGCAAATTTTATACAGCAAGGAAAGACTCAATTCAAGAAATATTTAAGATACGGTAATCGACACAAGATTGCCCAAGATTTACAAGTAATATTGTGTGTTTATAAAAGTATTTTTGAACTCGATACTTATGAAACAAGAGTAATTATCTTTATTAAAATTCAACAGTACGGTGATATCGTCGAAAGGCATCTTAGAGATGACGATGTAGTATTATTTAATCGGCAACCATCGCTACATAAACTAAGTATCATGGCACATAAAGCAAAAGTATTACAACACCGAACATTTAGGTTCAACGAATGTGTTTGTACTCCTTACAATGCTGACTTTGATGGAGATGAAATGAATCTGCATTTGCCACAAACAGAGGAAGCTAGAGCGGAAGCTTTAGTTTTAATGGGGGTAACGTACTAATTATTTTATGGATTTATATTTGCTAAAGAATGTTAATATCTTCGTTAACATTTTTGTTTATTTTCTTTTAGAATAAATCAAATTTAGTCACACCTCGCAATGGTGAATTATTAATAGCAGCGACACAGGATTTCATCACCGGTGGATATCTTTTAACTCAAAAGGATATGTTTTTGAACAAAGCTCAAGCAAATCAATTAGCAGGTTGTCTTCTGGCAGGATCTGACATTGCAATGTCTGTAAATCTTCCTAAACCTGCTATTTTAAAACCAATCATGTTATGGACAGGAAAACAAATCTTTAGTTTAATTTTAAAGCCCAATCATGCATCTAAAGTTAAAGCTAATTTGAAGACCAAAGGAAGAGCTTACACTAGCAACGAGGAACTGTGTATTAATGATTCTTGTACGTATACTCCAATAATAAGGAATCAATGTGTCTTATTTTCTGTTTAGACTCTTACATTATTGTTTACTTATTAACTAGTTCAGTTAGAAAATTAACAACTTATTGATCGCAAGAAAAACAGAACAAAAATTGATCAACTAAAAGTTTCTTCGTTCTTAACCTCAATGATTATTTCATATTAATTTCTTTATTTATTATTTAGAATAATAGTTAAATAACAAGGTTGGTAAATTACAGATGTTATTATCAGAAATTCAGAGCTAATAGCAGGATCCATGGATAAGTCTACATTGGGTTCAGGTTCGAAGCAGAATATATTTTATATTTTACTGCGGGACTGGGGTGAAGACATAGCAACGACAGCTATGTGGCGATTAGCAAGAATGGCGAGTTATTTCCTCATGAACAGAGGCTTTTCTATCGGTATTGGTGATGTTACACCTGGACAAGGTCTTCTTAAAGCTAAGCATGATCTGCTGAACGCTGGGTGAGTGCACATTTGCAAATAAAAGTGCAAATAAAATTATTTATTAATAATATCATTACTATCATTATATATATATATATAATCATAATACACTGGAATTTAGGTATTCTAAATGTACCGAATATATTCGACAAATGGAAGAAGGTCGTCTCATATGCCAGCCTGGATGCACAGAAGAAGAGACGTTAGAGGCAATGATACTAAAGGAGCTTTCAGTAATTCGTGATCATGCTGGTAAAGCATGTTTGAAAGAACTCCATCCGAGCAACAGTCCATTAGTTATGGCTCTCTCTGGCAGCAAAGGCAGTTTTATTAACATTTCACAAATGATTGGTGCGTATAACACTGATATTCAAAAAAAGAAAGAAAATAAACAGTTTTATTATTTATTATTGTTATTTTGATTAGCGTGTGTGGGACAACAAGCTATCAGCGGTCACAGAGTCCCAAATGGATTTGAAGATAGAGCTCTACCGCACTTTGAAAGACATTCAAAAATCCCTGCGGCTAAGGGTTTTGTTGAAAACTCATTCTATTCTGGTCTAACGCCAACAGAGTTCTTCTTTCATACGATGGGAGGAAGAGAAGGTCTTGTAGACACAGCAGTTAAAACTGCAGAGACAGGATACATGCAACGGAGGTTAGTGAAAAGCTTGGAAGACTTGTGCCTTCATTACGATATGACAGTTCGCAATTCAGTGGGAGACATTGTACAAGTACTGTATGGTGGAGACGCTTTGGATCCTACGTACATGGAAGGTAAGAAATCCATGAGTTAGAGTTATTAGAGTTTGGTAAAATTTAATGTAATTAACAAGGATTATTTGTGATCGAACAAAATGGTTACTTCGTTAGGAAAAGATTGCCCGGTGGATTGTAAGAGAATATTAGATCACGTAAGAGCTAAGTCACCATGCAAAGATGAGAAGCCATTAGATGCTCCTAGTGTGATTAAAGCTACAAACGAATTGTTGACTTCTGAGGATTATGAGTGTCTCAGCGAAGAATTTAAGCAAGAGTTGTCGTAAGTAAAACATTTACGCAAAGAACCTCATTCAATATTTTTCATCTATTTTGAATAAGTATCACATTTAAAACGAATATCATAGCATAGTATGGTTTAATTAAGCAGAATTTATTTCTATAGTAAACGTTTCAACTTTTAATTTATATCTTTCTCTATGAAAAAGATGAAAATAAAATTCAGCGAAAACAAGTATCAATGAAAATTATACAAACGTTTATGACACAGTCCATAGTAAATTAAAAATAATAAATTAACTAATAGTGTTTCTGTATCTCTTGCAGGACATTCCTCACAAGTGTGGCTCGTAGAATAGCACGGTTTAGAAATAATGCTCCTTCGAATGTACCTGTAATTTTGCAACTCGAGAGACTTACAGTTTCTCAATTAGTGGAATTTATTCATACGTGTAAAGAAAAATACATGCGTGCTAAAATAGAACCAGGCACTGCTGTAGGAGCACTCGCTGCACAAAGCATTGGAGAACCGGGTACACAAATGACTTTAAAAACTTTCCATTTTGCTGGTGTTGCGTCTATGAATATTACTCAAGGTGTGCCTCGTATTAAAGAAATTATCAACGCGAATCCCAGGATCAGCACACCTATTATTACAGCAGCCCTTGTAAGTTCTTTTTATTTAATATATAATTAAATAATTAAATAATTAAAATATATAATTTATATATAAAGTCAGTGCGAAAAGTATTCGTACAGTAACCGATTTAAAATAAAATTAATAAGAAAAGAAATACATACGAGGTTAACATTTAATAAACTTTTATTTACACAAATTCTACTCTAAAAATATGTAGGAATGTTGGTTAATTATTTCTTCCCCTGAAATTTATTAATAAAATAAATATATGAAGTTTTATTTTGAATCGGTTCTTGTACGAATACTTTTCACACTGACTATGTATGTAATAAAATGAAGTGTATCAGTTTTTCTATTCCGTTTTTATGGAAAAACAAATTAATCAATCTTAATTAAACTTATATATCTTTATACTTTGATTCTTAAATTTGGATCATGAGAAGTATGATATGTAAATAACCTAAGAATAGAATTTGTGTTCAGAATTTATTTTGAACCTTTAATCTATTCAAAGGAAAAATAATTTGGCCTAAATATAAGAATTATTAATAATTCATTCGTTACAATTTATGAATATTTGTGGAAAACCAAATGACAGTCAATATTATGGCTCGATAAGTAATGATTAATAGGTATTCCTTCATTTATTGTACACGCAAGCTTCACTTGCTATTATTTATTTTTTATGTTGATATTAGGAAAACGATACAGATGCAGAATATGCCAGAAGAGTAAAAGGTAGAATCGAAAAGACAACATTGGGAGAAGTGACAGAATACGTTGAAGAAGTGTATCTACCGGACAGTTGTTTCCTGTTAATAAAGTTAGATGTCGATAGAATAAAATTGTTAAAGTTGGAAGTAGACGTTGAATCTATACGATATTCGTGAGTACATGAATATGTATAATAACATAAAGTTATATTCTAACTAAACAGTCAGCGAACTTCAACTACGAAAAGAAAAATATAATTTTTACAGAATTTGTACATCAAAGTTAAGACTCAACCCAAAATTAGTAAATGTTAGAGGTGATTCTATCATTACTGTGAGTCCCAGTAAAAGTAAATACAGTTTGAATTACGCACTCACACAATTGAAGGAAACTGTCCCAAATATTGTCGTAAAGGTGAGAACTATCTACGCAAACTGTCTACGCAGTAAATAAAAACTATTTAAGTGCTTCATAATTCACATAAAGACATACTTGGAATATTTGCAGGGTTTACAATCAGTTTCTAGAGCAGTCATTCATAATGACGATTCAAATGGTAAAACGAAGTACAAATTATTCGTAGAAGGAGACAATATGCGTGAAGTTATGGCAACTCATGGGGTCCTGGGTCGCAAAACAACTTCAAACAACACGATAGAGGTAAATTATTGATTTTTATATATAAAATTATAAAGAAACAAGTATTTTACTTGTCAAATGTTAATTGTGTCAAATTGTCAATGTTTTAGGTGTACAAAACTTTGGGAATCGAGGCTGCAAGAGCAACTATAATGACAGAAATTAAATTGGTAATGGAAAATCATGGAATGAGCATCGATAGAAGACATCCGATGCTAGTAGCTGATTTAATGACAAGCAGAGGAGAAGTATTAGGTATCACGAGACAAGGTTTGGCGAAGATGAAGGAATCTGTTTTGAATTTAGCTTCGGTGAGACATCTCACGTATTTTCTATAATATTATTACCAAACAAGTATTAATAAATTTATTTAATAGTTCGAGAAAACAGCTGACCATCTATTTGACGCAGCTTATTATGGTCAAAAAGATGTTATCTGCGGTGTATCTGAATCGATTATTATGGGTATTCCAGTCCCAGTAGGAACAGGGATCTTCAAGCTACTTCACAAATATCCTTTTCAAATTTATTTTTTCAACTTGAATACATTCTTAAAATGTTTAGTTTAGATACTAATAAAATTTGTTAATTTATTTTCCTTATTATTGAAATACAGCTGACAAGGATGAGCCACAAAAAAGGAATTTGATATTCGATGACCCACAATTTCATAAGAAGATCACAAAAATCGCAGCATAAATGTAAATTAAGTGTTAATTACTTTGTAATAAAATATTGAATGTACATAAAAGAAAAAAAGATGTAATTTAATGAAATTAAGAATTTTTATACTTCATAGTTTTTGTTCTTGAAAAATATTTATCTTTTTGAATCAAAAATGTAAAAGTATAAAGTGTGTTATTAAGTTTATTAAATAAACCATCTGTAGTTGCTAGGAAACAATACGCGTTTGATCCATATTTGTCACAGATTGTATTTGTATAACTCATTTCAATAATGTTGAGTGAAGTAACGCGCTTTTAACGCGAAATTTTGATACACTTTATTTTAAGATAATATTGTGACATATTTTGCACAAACAAATTACTTAAATTTTTTTGTCATTCGATATTAATTATAGAGCTTCAGAATGGTAAACGAAACAGAATTTTGGACCGAAATTCGAAAAACTATACCGCAGTACAAAAAAAGAAAACCGAGAGTTGTTCCAGCTTTTACGATTCAAGCTTTGCAGGTAAAATTGTGATAGTATGAAATTGGTCTCCAATGTTTTATTAATAATTTATTTAGGAGAATACTGTTGTTGCAAAACCTCGTCGATATGAATTGTACAAACCTCAACTACCAAAACCATCGACTTTTCGGAAATTCTATGAAGAAGGCGTATTTCCAATTTCGTTGGAAAATGATATTTATGGGACGAAACTCAGCTGGAAAGTTAACATCGAGGACCTAGATTTCCATCATTATTTACCATTGTTTTTTGATGGATTGACTGAAACTGAACAACCTTATAAATTTTTGGTGGAACAAGGGATATCTGATATGTTGGAACACGGTGGTCCAAAAATTTTACCTGTTGTACCGCAATTAATAATTCCTATCAAGAGTAAATTCTCTTTTTTCCTGATTTTATTTAATAATTTCCTAAATGCAAATGTATGTTATTCTACAAGAAATATTATTTATTCTAGAAGCTTTGAATACAAAAATGCCAGAAATTATTTGCGCTACAATGAAAGCTCTTCAGAAACTTGTACGTTCTGGTGATTGTGTCGGGGAAGCTTTAGTGCCATATTTTAGACAAATTTTACCAGTTCTTAATTTATTAAAAGATAAAAATGGTAAGAGGTTTCTTTATATTAACCCTTTGCACTCGAAAAGTGACTCTCCATCACCACTAGATGATCTTTAGGTTCAATTTCTTTGGAATTCGAAGTGTCAATAAAATGATTGTCATTGAGGCAAAGTCCTGATTTTCAAATCTCAAATTAGAGATCTCACTTTCGAAGTCAATATAATCTTAGCATTCATGATAATAGAATCCTAAAAAAGCATCTCAAGTTGCTGACACATACCAGAAAAAAAGGCCTAGAGTCCAAAGAGTTAATATTATATTAAATTAGTTTGAAGAATTGAATAATACAATAATCAGTAAGTTTTGTTCTTCAACAGAAACTAATACATGTTTTTAATTCATATTATTTGCCATTATTTTTAAAGCGATTTAAGGTATGAATCTATAAAGTAATATTTTTTAAATCACTCATTTCTTCGAAATTAAAATAACAGGATATTCATTATTTTCTTACATAATGTTAAATATTAACATTTATGAATTGTGAAGATCTATTCTAAAGAGTCAAAAACATTAATATTTGATTGTTTGTAGAGGTTAGTAAACAGAGTGAATATTCAAATTCTTTGTATAGCGAAACTCTTGTATGAATAATTAATTAGAAACTACAAGATAATAATTTAATTTTAATCCTTGGCACTCGAGATGCTTTCTTAGCATTCTATTGCCACAAATGCTAAGCTTAATCAGGTCACCTTTACCTCATCAATAATCATTTTATTGACACTTCGAGAGAAATTAAACCTAAACAAACATTATTCTTGATCGATTCACTGTGTCAAACCTAGTAGTGACTGAGAGTCACCTCTTGAGTGCAAAGGATTTTATTTCTTAAACCACAAGAACGTATTGAACACTATAAATAACAAAAAATTAATGAACGAACCATGTGATTCATCCTCTTCCTGTATATCATCTTTAGTCCATGCTTCCATAACATCAATAATGAGATATAACAATTGCACTACTTTAATTTTCTTTAAAAATTAAATTTAACGTTATAGTCAATCTTGGAGAAGGAATTGACTATTCGCAACAGAGAGGAGAAAATGCTGCGGACATGATACAAGAAACTCTTGAAATGCTGGAAATATATGGAGGCGAAGATGCTTTTATAAATATTAAATACATGATCCCCACATATGAATCTTGCATGATGAATTAAAAGTCAATCATTATTTAATTATTGTCTGACATTTACTGCAAATTGTAGAATTATAAAAAATAGGATCTGTATTAAATATAATTGAAATTTATAAATATTATACACAATATGTAAAACAGTATTAAATTTAATTATCTACACATTGTATATTAAAGTTGCAATAAATCAGCATTATTCACACTTTCCCTGAATCCTCTTTTAATGTCACAGTTCTATTAAAAACAAGCTGCAATGAAGAAAACAAGTTATTAAAAATGCTTACGTAAATTTCACTGATTCTAGTTACCTTTCCTGGCGTAGTATCTGGGTCCACAGAAAAGAAACCAATACGTTCAAACTGAAACTTATCGAAAGGTTTCACAGAATTTGCCAAGCTTGCATCGATGTACCCAACAATTTCTTTTTTACTGTTTGAATTGATATCGCTCAAATACCCATTTGGCACTTCATGCGAGTCTTCAGGATTTTTATGTTTAAATCTAAAAGATACATTAAATATAATCGAAATACGATTTCTATGAAAATAAGTTATATCAATATCAATGAATTTAGCAAATCAATCTAATACTTACAGACGTTCATATAACCTAACAGATGCCAACACAGGATTCGATACCCAATGTATAAAAGCTTTAGGTTTATTCTTTTCGCAAATAAGTTCTTGTTGAACAATTATGTTTACAATATTACCACTACTATCTTTCTCTAATTTTTTTACTGTTATGACAACTCCTGCATGTTTCAAACCAACGGATTGATTAGGAGTTAAACGTCTGAAGTCTTTATCTGCTTTCTGTAAAATATGTAATAAAATATTCCGGAACAGATAGTATTAAATAACATTTACTATAATGTATTATTAATAGAAATATACCTCTTTGAAATCAGATGCTTCGATATAAATAATTTCATCAAAAGTAATGTCATGTTGCCCCTTTTCCGGTTCGTTAGGAAAATTGGGAACAGTCAATTTTACAGAAGTTTCATCGGTGAAATTGCTAATGGTTACTTTTATTGGATCTAGAACAGCCATGTGTCGACTTGCGGTGCCATTTAAAACATCTCTGACACATGCCTCTAAAACAGCTGGATCAACAATTGCTTGCGCACCAGTGACACCCATTTGCGCACAGAAATTATTTATAGCTTCAGGTGGAAAGCCTCTTCTGCGAAGAGCTGTTAGAGTAAATAATCTAAAAGAATTTAATGCATGTGAAACAGACATCATTTTACAATTTATTTCAAACGTCAGTATGTTTAATTTGTTACACGTACACAAAGTATCTCATTTAATCGTATCATTATATAATGATATGATATTACTATAAACGATTTTAATTTAATTTAACATATTTTTAAAAATAGGTACTAGATTAGGTAATTGAAATGAGATACCTTGTGTATATAAGATTGTAATATACCTTGGATCATCCCAATCGGATACAAAACCCTCTTCGATTAGCTTGCCAATCTTTCTCTTCGAAACGACAGTGTAACTCACATTTAATCTGCCATACTCCCATTGCACAGGACAATAAATATCTAAAGAGTTACAAAGCCAATAGTACGACGATCTTCGCGACTGAAATTCTTTGGTGCAAAGAGAATGTGTTATATTTTCTATACTGTCGCACAAACAGTGCGTAAAATCATAAGTAGGATAAATGCACCATTGATCTCCTGTTCTGTGATGCGGAGAATACTTTATTCTATATGCGACAGGATCTTGTTTTCCTTCTTCTAGTGTTACTTTCATACGTAACGTAGCTTCACCTTCATTTAGTAATCCATCTTTCATATCCTTTGAGAAACGTTACAAAATAATAATTAAAATACTATAAAGTAATGTATTTAAAAATTAATTACTTCTTCAATTTGCATACGTCAAGATCATTATGATCTGTCAATTTTAAGTTGAAATAAAACCAAAGAAAATTTCTTCGACATACATTAATGAAAAAAGATGATTATTTATTGAAAGCGTGCTTACTTGGAATAATTGTAAGCTCTCTGAAACGGGCCTATCACGCCAAGGACTAGGAGGTGGATTGAAACCTTTCATTTCTTCGCTAGATTGATGGCAGACATACGCCAAACCTTTCTCTATAAGTTTAATGGCCCATTCGTATAATTGTTGAAAGTTATCGGAAGAATGAGTTATCTTTGCTGGTTTATAACCAAGCCATTCTACCATGTCACGTATACCAATGAAAAACTTCTCTTCCTCTTTCTCAGGATTCGTATCATCGTAACGTAAATAACATACACCATTATGAGCTGCAGCGTATCTGTAATAAAACTATTTTGAAACAACGAATAAGGTTAAGAAATATGCTACGATAGAAAGCATACCCAAAATTGATATTAATTGCCTTTGCGTGACCAATATGCAAAATTCCATTAGGTTCTGGTGGAAACCTAGTCCTTACTTTGCCACTTGTTATTCGTAAATGTTCTTGTAATAATTTATGTGTGTTTGGTGTTACAACGTATCCTTCGGTTTTATAATTCTCTCCTGGTTTATGAAAATGAACTTTAGTCTTCATTAATTCGCTTATTGTTTGAGCGCCTGCTTTCTCATTTGCTGCTACTGCATTTTTCTGTTCTGGTAAATAATAGAAAATTGAAAAATATTATTTTTTAGAAGATTTGAAATGTATCAATGTAATTAATTCACTATAATTGTTCAATATACAAGATAAATAAATTGTAGTATATTTAATTGTTTCGGAGTTAATTACATATTACATTTCAATAATAAAATTGATTTGAATTTACCTTTTTCCTTTTCAGTATTCTTTGCTTTCGGTTGTTTTGTTGGTTTAGGTGGCGGAGCGAGATCCGAACCAACCTTAGGTCCCAATAACGCAACTATTTGAGCATCAAATTCATTTTTTATTGCTTTTCCATCTGCCCACTTCAAATTATTACGTACTTGTTGCATCAATGGGCCGACATTATAATGATATCTGCAACAACGTACTTTATCTTATAAAATTGATTTAATACTCCTGATAATGCTACAAAAAAATAATTAAACAAAAGACCTCCACCTTTTCTCCACTATTTCTGTTTTATGCGCATTTATAACTTTTTCTACCTCGCATTGAATTTCCTCTGGTGAAACAACGATACCTACACCGCATTCTTTTTCAAAATTCGATAAATCGATAGTTTCTTTCACGTGATTAAGTAAGAAGCTCAGTCCGGCATCTATCCTTTGCGTCGTATCCAGTTTCTTTTCAGCTATATATTTAGCAATGAATGGCAGTTTATCTGCTATTTGATTCTTAATTTTTGAAGCGAGATGGTATAATAAAATTCCAACATCTGGTGTGATAATTCCATATTTGTTAGCCTGCGAGTATGAGTACATATGGAACGATAAAATGTGACAAAGCGATGTGATACTTAATCTTAAAATTAGCACTTAATTCGGATTAAATAAAAAGAAATACTTATGGTAAACTCAGAAACTAAGAGAACATATTATTCAAAATATATGTAGGTTTAAATAGTTAAATGATTTGCTAACCTCTGATATGACAAGTTTCAAATTGTTGGAAACTTGTTTATTTTTTAAGGTTTCTTTAGCTTTTTGTTCGCTCAATCCAATCGATTGAAATAATTTTATATCTTCTACTTCCATCGTCATAATCTGTTTTGCTCTCCAACGAGACAAATTTGATAATGCAACCCGGCGAACTGAAGCGAACCAGTCAACCAGGGATCACTAGGGCTGTGACAGGCTGTCAGGGGCCCTGTGTCACAGGGCTCCATGTTGACAGTCTAGATCACGGGCGGCCAACCGAAATGAGTTCCCGGGCCACTTTCAAAATGTATATAAATGTATGCAGGGTGTCCCAAAAATGTTGTAACACCTTGAATGAGGTGGTTCGGGAGGTGATTTGAAGCAATTTTTTCCTTAACGAAAATGTTGTATGAAACTTTGTTAAGGAGATATTAACAAAAAACCTCGACCAATCAGAGCGCGAGTAGGCTACGCGATAGGCGGCCGCACTCATACGCTACCGCGGGCGCTCCATTGGCATACTCGCGCTCTGATTGGTCGGGAGCTCGGCCGCCTCGCGCTCCGATTGATCGGGATTTTCGTTTAATATCTCTTCAACGAAGCCTCGGACAACATTTTCGCTAAGGAAAAAGTTGTTTCAAATCAACCCCCGAATCACCCCTTTCAAGGACCTCTAACATTTGTATAGATACTGATACTGACTGATACCATGATACTCTGACTGATGCAGTTCAATGAACATATGGGTTATCAGTTATGTTAGGTTATGTGGCAATGAAAAAAGAAAGGATGCGTTTTTTCTCATGAAGATAAATTCTTTCTTTTTACACTTTTATTGTCCATTACCATTAAGTACATAAGACAATATATTATACTGCCTCATAATATTATTTACATTTTATCACTGAGAATGGAAATTTACACAATTTTCACAAAATATGTATATAGTAATTTATGTATATAGCATTTCCTTATTAACAAATTAGTAATATTTAAATAATACACTTACTAAAATACCCTTTTCGAATAGCAAATAAATTATTTTCAAATTTAATTCGTTTTATAACAATGATACATTTTATTGTTTGTGTATAAATTGCGCTTGAATAAATATTAACTTTATTTTATGTTTACATATTTTACATATTTTACATATTTCTGTGTACATATTTATTTTTAATTAATCATTCTATTTCTCTAAAATTAATATTTATATTTATATACTTTATACGATATACATTTATATACTTTGTTAATGCCTCAATTAACTGTACATAAAGTAGTAGTTGGTAAAAATCACGTGTAATACCATAAATGATTTATTTGGTTATATTATTAAAATCGTAATCTTTTTCTTTAGGTAAGAAATGAGCGAAAGTGACGATAACGATTTAGAATTATGTCCTTCGACACTGGCCGCCTTAAATGAGTTTCTTAAAGAGAAAGAGGAAAGAGAAAATCAATTGAAGTCCATTTTAGAAAACCAAGCTACAGATGTTTCTTTTGACGAAAATTGGGTAAGCTAGCTTTTCTAAATAAATGTACCAACAGTGTTCCAATATTTTATATTGATTGGTACATTTATTCCATAACAATGATTAAACTCACTGTTTCCTTTTCTTTTTGTCTACTCAAGATATCAATTAATTAAATAAATGTAATGTTTTTCTACTAGTTGGATCCAAAGTAATTGATATAAATTTTTATACTAAACAATCTTGTACCTATTTAATGTTACCTTGTATCTAATTATGTTACAATCACGTTATATAAAATATTTCTTAAATAACGCAGTATTCATTCTGCGTTTATTTCTACATGTACGTACTCTACTTGTATGTTACATGGCGTTACATTAATTTTTGTTACAGCAATTAAGTCAGTTTTGGTACGACGAAGAAACAACAGATACTCTTATCAAAGGTGCAATAAATTCTACAGGGGCTCATGGAAAGATTGCTCTAATTTCTTGTCCTACACTTTATAAGAAACTGAAAAACAATTGTGGCGATCGGCAAGGTATAAATGCATCTCATTCATAATGCTATGATTTATATTGATAGCTTCCAAACTTTATGGAAGGTAACCTTCTGAATTCAAATGTCTGCACTCTAAATTTAATCAATTCAATATTGTTTTTATTGACATGAACTTCATTTGACTGAAATTAATTGAAGTTCTTATGCACTGAATATAAAGCATTATTTAAAGGAAAGGTGTAGCCAAATTAAATGCTTGTAAAATGTACGCACAAATTATAGAGTTCAGTTTACTACAATATTAAAAATATTATTACTAGACTGCAGATTTTTACGCAAAGTAAAATCTTGTGTGTCTACAGAACGTGTCTATAAAAATTGAATCTAAATAGAAATTTATTTTACTCTGCAAATATTATAATATGAACTTTACTCTCAATCTTTTTTATATTCTTGCATACTGTGTGCATTTTGTAGTTTTACGCATTTTTTAGTTTCTTGCACATTCAAATTTTCTATAAATGCATAAAGATCCGCAGTCTAATTATTACTAATATAAATTCTTTATTAATAGTTGTCCTTTTCGAGTATGACGAACGATTCAAAGTGTTCAGTCCGGATTTCATTCCATACAACTATAAATTTCCTTTGGATGTTCCAAAAGATATGTCAGGTTTCTATGATTTGGTCATAGCCGATCCACCATTTCTATCTGATGAATGTTTAACGAAGACTGCTCTTACGATCAAATTCTTGGCGAAAAAGAACATTGTTCTCTGTACAGGTAATATCATATTTATATATACATGCATATATACAATAATATATACATTAATATATACAATTATATATACAGGAATATATACATTTATATATACATTTATAGATACAATTATATATACATGTATATATACAATAATATATATATTTATATATACAATTATATATACATGTATACATACAATATACATTTATATATATATATGTATATATAGTATATACAATTTTTTCCATCAACTTGTTACGTAAAAGTAATTCTATCCATTCATTTATAGGTGCTGTGATGGCAGAATTGGCAGAAAGATTATTGGACGTTACAATTTGCAATTTTATACCTCATCATCAGAATAATCTTGCGAATGAATTTTACTGTTACGCAAACTTCAATTTTGATCAAATGTTGAAATAAATAAAGGTACATGTTGAAACGTATCTGTGATGTTCAATTGTTTTTGGAGAATCAGCCTGCAGTTTTAGCGAAATCATGCAAATTTATTTATTTGAACATTTGATCAAGTGTTGGAATAAATAAACGTACGCGCAGGGCCGGTTTTAGCAATATTGGCGTCCCGGGCAAGATTATCGTGGCGTCCCTTCAGGGGTATATACAGGGTATCCCAAAAATGTTGGAGGTCATTGAAAGGGGTGGCTCGGGGGATGATTTGAAACAACTTTTTCCTTAGCGAAAATGGTGTCCGAGGTTTCGTTGAGGAGATATTAAGGAAAAACATTGACCAATCAGAGCGCGAGTACGCCGGTGTAACAACCAATCAGAATGCAAGTATGAGCGCGGCCGCCTAGCGCGTAGCCTTCTCGCGCTGTGATTGGTCGCTCCACCGGCGTACTCGCGCTCTGATTGGTCGGGGTTTTTTATTAATATTTCCTTAACGAAGCTTCAGACAACATTTTCGCTAAGGAAAAAGTTGTTTCAAATCACCTCCTGAACCACCCCTTTCAAAGACCTCCAACATTTTTGGGCCCCCCCCCCCCCCCCTAACGCCGACCCTGCGTACGCGTTGAAATTTATTTATTTCAACATTTCATCAAATGTTGAAATAAATAAACATTCACGTTGAAACATATCTACGATGTTTAATTGTTTTACAGAATCAATCTACAGTTTTACCAAAGTAACGCGAATTTTAAATATTTGAAATGTTCGTTACGTTTCGCACGAATGCGTTACTTCCGGTTCTTAAATATTTCGGAGTTGAGAAAGTTCGGAGTACTTACACAAAATATTACCCCGAATATTCCGCAATTAATTAAATAAACACGACAAATATTCCAAATCCAATTCCCTTATATTTAATTTTTTACGATTAAAAGTTAAAAGTATGTTGGCAATACTGACAGATTTGTGTAAGATATTCGAGTAAAGTATTAAATTCGATGACTTACTTTACGTTTTGTCCCCCGACATCGTCTATTGTGTAATAAGTTCTATTTTAGTTTTACATCCGCTTTCGTATCAATTATATAAACAAACGAAGAACAAATAGATAATTTTCACGATAAAAAGCGCAAACTTTTTCGAAGCGAAATTCAAACTCCCTAGACGGAGAAAAAAAAATAATCTCTAGGTAAACATCTGTGAAAAGAAGACACGCGATGGAAAGCGTAAATATTTACATTTCTTGAGTGTTTTGCGGGAGTAATTTTTATTTATAATCATGATAGACGGAAACATTTCCATGGAGGAGGACACAGAATTAAGGGATTTGGTGGTGCAAACCCTTGAGAACAATGGTGTTCTCGCGAAAGTGCGGGTACGTTGAAACTGTATCGCAAAAATCACGCCTTTTTTTTTAGGTTACGTAGATTGTGTCAAAGAACTTTCTTCCATTGAACTATTTTCTTTTTTCTTTTATGTCGTGATACGTGTACCGGAAATTTTTTGCAATGTTACAGGCAGAACTCAGGGCAAGCGTGTTTTTAGCGCTAGAAGAACAAGAATCTGTAATGGTACGTCAACATTTTTTACAATTTTTTACAATCATTAAAAAATCTGCATTGACATTTGTTGAATAATTGCTTTTGTACAAATAAATGCTCCAATCAGTAAATTTCTGATAACGGGTGACAAATGATACTTCAAAAAATGTCCCGATACAAGTTCGTTCTATCTAAATCATTAAGAATGATTAACGAATGTGTTTTTTTGTTTACGTGTTACAGGCATTGAGACCTTCGAGATAACTAATGCGATTGATGTTTCAGAATCCAGAACCGCTCCTCAATAAAACTGTAAAGCAGTACCTGGCTAATTCAGAAGGAAAATTATTGTTTTCCTTGGTTAGGGAGTTCCTAGAATACTTCGGTCTCGATTATACGATATCTGTGTATGATCCAGAGACATACTTTGGAAAAGAATATAATTACGTAGGAAGAAATAAATTATGCGAAGAGTTAGGTATTGAATCTAACGAACCGTTGCTTGGAGAAATTTTAAAAAATAGCATGAACAGTGCCTTTAATAACACAGAAAAGGTACTTATATACAAAAAGATTTAAAACAGTGGTTTCTAAAGAGATGCGAACCATAGAAAGGGAATTTTGCAATTTAAAAGAGACGCAAGAGAAAGTTTTTAATATAAAGAAATAAATTAAACATTTCATTCTATGACTACATTAAATAATACAGTTTAAGAATTTTGCTTCCGTCATTTTAAATCTATCATTTATCTTCACACATTTTGCACCTTTCAACAATTTTAGAAATCACTGATTTTAACTCCTATTATATTTAAAATATTAAATCCATTTCACATTTCAATTTTTATTCTAGAACAAAACTAACGACAGCAGGCTTAATAAAACAGACGAAACTGCAACAAACATTGCTAATGCAACGTTCGAAATTTCCATTCCAAAAGTATTACACCACGAAACAATGTCATTATCGAATAATAATGATATCTCGGATAAATTGGATAACAAAGTTTCGCAGCAGAGTCCAAAACTTCCAATAAACGTGACAATAACAGACAAGAAAATTAAAGAAACGTCGCACGATGTTTCGAAAGACGAGTCAAGTAGTGAAAAACAAAAGAATTCTCTCAGGAAATGTGCAACTTCTGAATGCTCAGATAAGAACGATGGAATTGATAGCAAAGGGAACAATAATATGAATTTTGATACGCTCTCTACAAGTCCAAATGGCACAACTACGGTGATGAATCATACAACAAAGGAGACTGAAACAAATATGCCCATCCAAATAAATTTACTAAATAAAACCGAGCCTTTAATTAAGTTTGACGAATCTATAGTTACTGAAGTGCAAACAAATCAAAATGAAGATATAAGTAAGCAAAATAATATAAATAGTTTCGAATTACACATAGCGAATAACGTACAAAATAAAAAGTCGGTGAACATTGGAAACAGTTTTGGAAAGACTGTATACTTTGAAAAGATAATCGTTGATGGAAAGAGAGAAGATATCAATGCTATACATAATACCGAATCATTTTTACAAGATTTACCATCTGTAGATAAAAAATCTCATTCTATACTCAGCGATCTCCCACCATTAAATGGTAAAAAGACTAATATCAATGATCTGAAGGAATTGATGGATATCGGGCTTGGTATGTTGTCACACATCCTTAGGAATATGATTAACCCATTCACTCTCCGTAAGCCATATATAGATCATAACTAGGCTGCGGATCTTTATGCATTTATAGGAAATTTGAATGCGCAAGAACCTACAAAATAAAAATATGCAGAAATATAAAAAAGATTGAAAGTAAAGTTCATATTATAATATTTGCAGAGTAAAATAAATTCCTATTTAGGTTCGCAAAGTTCAAAGATCCTCAGTCTAATCATAACGATCATAATGATTTTCATCGTTTGAGAAATTTCTTTCAGACACTTTATTTTTCACAAGACCTGGACAATGAACGTGTTAATTATTGATTGTATTAAACTTCTATGTATATAACTATTACAATATACATATCAACAATATATTTTTAGGAACTGATGGAATTGATAACTACGAAGAAGATTTTATTTCATCCGCCTCTGGTAGTGCTTACGAACAAAGTCCCACTAAAGAACCTGAAAAATCAGATAGTCCAGTGAAACATCAAACAAAAAAGCAAGATAAATCTCAAAGTGCTCACAGTGACGAGATAAGTGAAGAAATTGAAGAAATTGATGACGTATTAAGCAGTACATGTGTGAGTAAATTTAGCACGGATAAGAAAACTTATCGTTTAATGTACTCTAGTAACTGACATCCTTTTTTATATATATATATATATATATATTTTGAATATTGCATGTGTAATTCTTTTTTAGCTTGAAGATATAAATATGGATAAAAATATATCAAATTTTGCAACGGGTATTACAGCTAATTGTGCGAAAGAACTATAATCGTACATCACGTTACTACAGAATTTACTTTCTGCAAGAATCTTGAGATGTTATTTTTTTTATAACATTGACATTTGATATCCTACGCTAGGTTATAGTACATCTATGCGAATTGCTACGGATTCACAAAACTTGCAGAATTATTTCGGTTTCTGACATGGCACTGCCATTTATGGCTCAATACTTATAAGTTTTCTTGCAAAAAACGTAGAAGGAAAATGTCTGAACGTATATCCATAAGTGTTGTTCACTACTTTATAGAAATTCTTCGACAGAAACATATTTTTGTATGAATCGTAAAGTTTTATCGTAGCAGAATTTAACTCGCAGCCTTCAAATGAACATTTTGAATTTAGTAATACATTAGTTGTCATATGAAAGCTAGAATGTTTCAACTGCTTACAAAAAGAACGTTATAAAATTGTTAATTAATTAACGGGAACCAAATATTGGAAAATAAACTGAACTGCCATTACTCTTCACTATTATTGTAATAAGACGTAAAATTATATTTTTTGTGTATCTAAGTAAATTAAAAATAGAGATCATCTGAAAGTTCCATGAAGAAGCTTGTACGAAGCTTTGTAAACATATAATTTTGTAACTTAGTAAGGAATGATTATAATTAAAAAATTGCATTAGAAACGAGAGAAAGCTATTTAATTGAATTAAATATAAAAGTAATAAAAGTATGCGAACGTGGTTTTGTTTTGAAAATTGTGATACATTGTTGATTGAATTAAAATCGTAATACTAAGACTTTTGATTGCAAGGACTTTCAGACAAACTGCCTTCTACGTTGTTCTGTAAATATGTCTAGTATTATTACTCTTAAAGCCAATTATCTCAACGTTAAAATACCATAAGAAGTGGAAAGTAATCAGTTACATTAATGGTTGTTGGATACTTAGTTATATATCTCTCTAAAAAAAAATTTGTAATAGTTTATGTTGTTTATCGCAATGATTCCTGTGTCTGATTTCATGACTAAATGTCATCGATTACCTCATTTAACTAAAGTTACTGGTATAGTATCGATAGCAATATTGATAAATCATCCGTCTAAAAATGGATTGCCTAAAAAAGAAATATATCAGATTATTTTTTTTCAAAGGTAATGGTGCTAAATGCGTGAAACTAAAGTTATTTATAAAAGTTGAAAGTTATTTAATGGGAAAATTAGGTGCTTCTGTTTTTTCTTGCATCCGTAATATCTTAACGACTAATAAATGCTTTAGACTAAGTAATAAAATTTTTGGGCAATCCAATACCTTGATAAACATATTGGTATAAATATACTATGCCCCGAATAAGATGGAATAACTAAGTACAATTCATGGTGGATCAACAGGATGCTTGACAAATCAAAATCTGTCTAAAAAAAAATATACAGCCTGCTTCCTTTACAAAAATTTTCAGTAGCACATGAATACTGTCATCAATAGCAAATATTATAAACTGATTCAAACAAAGAGATTTCATAATTCAATAACGTGTCTACGCGAAATTAACATTAATTATGATATTTATAAAGCTAAAATATTGCACGAGGTAACTAAGCAGTTACAAATATTTACTACTTTTACTATAGTAGTATTATTTATGGTGCAAGAGGATTTATTTATTTAGAATTGTTCAAGGATAATATTTTTAATTAATATTCACTTAATGTTTCTAAAATCTTTTTATCTGTTTAGGATTTATACTTCGATCAGTAAAAATTGTAAACTGGCTATTCTATGACTTGAAATAGGACATCCTATTATTATCTTTATTTGTGACAATACAATTAGTCATTTATTATTTTACATTCCAGAGTTCTGGAATGCATTTTAGAGTGTATAACCAAACTTATTGGTGCCCTTAAAAATTTGGAAAAAAATATCAGTAAAAGACTATATTCAGCGTTATATATTTTCACTTAAAAATATTCCAAATTATACATAGAACATTTTTCTGGTCACAACTAATGAATATAACAAAGGTAGTCTGTTTCAAGTCGAATGGTGAAAATGTAAAATTTGATAATCTTATTTCTGTAGTATCGGAGGACACATGTGTAACGATGAAATCGCTTAGCTTGAATCAACTTTTATCTCTATGTATATATATTAAAGCAGGTGTGTTCCTGACCAATCAACGTGGTTACATTTTAAAATCAATATATTATATAATTTTATATATAAAAAAGAAAAAGAAATGAAAACAATTTCAGGACAACACTGAACATTCCTACGCTCTATAGAATGTAAAACATAGATACATTCCATTGTTATTAAGATTATTGCACTTTTGTTGTATTGTTAGCATTAGTAAAACAAATTTACGCAATAAGTATTTTTCACTGTAGCATATAAGAGAGAGAGAGAGAGAGTAATTTAAGAAATGTTTCACAACTACCACAGTATATCAAGATTTTTATTTTACATTCTCTACAAAACTAGAAAGTGTTTCTGTAAACATTTTTTTATTGCAGGGTACGCAAACATTTTTATATTTACGTGGTTTCAATTAATCCTAAGTTGATTGATATACAGTTACATACTTGTTATATACTTTTGTTTTTGAAAATTTTGTAAAATGTACATGTATGGTACATTACAAATATGCAGTCTTTCGTCTTATGTGGAAAACATATGAGTGGAACGCAGTATAAGAAAGCTTGGGGATATATTTTTGCAGATAAAAAACCATTAATAAATTCCTTTTTTTATGCATACATATATCTACACACACACATATATATATATTATCTATACCTTTGAAGCAGTTTTTTTTTTATAGCAAAATATCATATATAACTAATGACATCGATTTGTTATATTGTAAAAATATCTGTATCAATCTGTATATATGATGGTATTTAATGCACTATATGCAAATTAATCATACATTTTGCAAACACCGGTACGAAATAGTTACAATTATTGTTGTTTGCTAATTTATAATATCAAATTGAACAGATGAAGTATTAACGAGCTACTCACAATATTTTTTCATACAGTTCTAGATAATTACTTTTGTAACCACGTTGAAGTATTGGTAGCTATATTGTGCCTTTTAGTGTGTATGAATAATAAACAATGCAAATACATACTATGGAATTGTGGGATTTACAAAACACTTAAGTTACTTATTTATGATTTTGAAGTACGATGTAACGATATTCATGTATATGTTATTTATTTTATAAAGATTTTTCTCTTTTGCAAACATTGTGAATTTCTTCTACTTACCTTGAACCCAGTTTACGTTAAGAGTTCATCTTACATAAGTATTTTTAAAAATTCTAGAGGAAAATATAACTATATATATATACACGTATATAAAAAAAAACTATATTGAGTATTAAATAATATTGTTTGTATGTTATTTACATTAATAATAAAATTCAGTAGATGTTGGTCTGTAACGAAGTCAGTGAAAAATAATTCAACAAGAATTTATATAGAATTTCATAAAAAAAGGACCGCCAGCATAGCAATCCTCACAATATACCAATAATTCACAAGAAAACTGCAACAATTTACACAGCTCACCCTATATAAAGTTTAATCTGTTTAAAATAAATATATGTATTTAAATCTACCAAAAAGTTGACATTTTAAGGTAAAGTTGCATTACAATTTGCAAATTTTTGTAACGAAGTTTCAATATTAACAGCTGAGGTAATATTACAGAATAAGTAAATAGTCAGAAATGAAACCAGTTTTTGCATCGACAAGAGAAACTAATGCACAAACAATTTGTTGTAAATTATAATTCTGCATGAAATCAGGGTAATTCAGCTAATAACTTAATATATTTAACTACAAAATTTGTAACAAAAATATAACATGTTTTAATTTCGTTTATACATAAGATACTTAATTTATTATATAATTATATTAACTATCTATAAATTCACAGTGTTGTGTTTTTGCCTTCAGATATTTAAATTAGCCCGTTGCTGCATCAATTAACCAAATAAAATTCAGACCATAACCACTGAAACAGAGCTAAAAACGTAAGCTCATAATCGTTGAAAATTTTGTGGCTGAAGTAGTTATAAACTCATTTCCTTTACACGATACTACTTTTGTGAAATTTAAATGTACCTTTGTAAATCATTTTAATTTCTTTTTCTTTATATACATATTATGGAATATACTTTTTCTATTAAATGTTACGTTAAAGTTAATTAGATTTTATTAAAAAAACTAAATAAAGGATAAATTACTTAGCGATACTGAATGCTTGCTTTGTAACATAGACTGTAGAAATTCTTACTGACTCTTGTAGCGCAATGGTAAGGAGCAAACCAATATTGTATCTGAATTCTTTCATTGGGTTCGCCACTACTGAGGTTGTTTAGATTGTAATCATTATTTCTATTAGCTCCTATGTTGAAACTTGACACTATGAACGTCACTAATGGCATTCACGTTTGGCCTGAAAGTATAGTCGGGAGTCTTACTCATGATATCCAGGTTCGATTGGAAATTATGATCATGAGTAAAATTCGTCAAAGTATGATAAAGGTTTGAAAATAATCCATGAATAGTTCAATTAAATGAATAGTTTTACACATGTAAAAATCTATTTTATAGTAGAAACTAGTTAAAACTGATATCCTTATGTACAAAATTATTTAATATTTATAACTGACGTAGCTTTGCGATAGATTATTTCATAAAAATTGCACGAGATATATACACTGTAATTACAATTGCTATATCTTTGTAATAATGTTTGGAAAGAGTAGATACACAACTCTTGTTGCTTAGTAAATTACAAGATAAAAAACAAGGAAACAATTTATTCAAAAATTTGTACTTTTACATTCGGTTACGCTCTCTTTGTAGTCTTTCACTATAAGCTTTTGATACGAGATTAAATGCGTCCATATATCGGTCCATACACATTGCTACACATTTCTGTAAGTAAATCAGAATTACTTAAATTATGTTTTTATATTAATTATTCTAGGAATATTTGAAGCGTTGAAGTATTATAGCAGGTTAATACAGAGAATACTCCAAAAGTCTATTCCGTAACTCTGAAATGATCTTTGATCTATGAAATGAGCTTTCGCTTTTCTTAGTACAATATTCAAAACACATTTTGACACTTTAGTTTTTTAATTCTATACTTGTTTATTATTTTTAACTTCAATAATTGTATTTTTTCATAATATATAAACTAAACTAGTAACATAGCTAAACTAGCAATTTCTAATTCCAGCATCGCTTTTTTTTTATGTGACTTCAAGTATAAATAAAACAAGTAATTTTAATTATGTTTATGCCTTATGTTTGGAAGATACAAAACTAAGACAATTAAGTTATGGACAAACTGTACTGTAAGGCCATATGCACACGGGTGCAACCAATTTGAAATTAGTGTTGCAAACCGTTTGTGGTCTTTGTTTTACCTACTCCACTATCTTTGTTTTACCTAGATCCACGGACGCATGCAATTAGTTCAGAGTGGTTAGAAACTGATCAGTTATGCCTGTGTGTGATCGGCCTAAAGGTTAGTAAAATTGTTTGATGAATAGAGATTTTAAATAATTAATGTAACGTTTGCGATACTTTTGATGTATCACGTTTTGTGTTCCAATGACTCTTAAAACAATTGATATACTACTGTATTTTATTCCTAATCACGTACGTACTCTTTTCAGGTATTTATGATACAATCTTAGTTGACACTTTATAGCGATTGTACAATAATTAAATTCTATAATATTTTTCAGTTTGGGTACATTGGTGTTATTCAATATTTATTTTGTCTATTAGACTCGTTTACACAATCCTCCACGATTCGTATAATGTTGGGGCTTAAAATGTTACCAGAATAATAGAAAATAAATTATTCATTATCCCAACAAAATAAATAGGTTATCGGTCGATAAAGTGTTAGGTGTAATAAATAAATATTGCACTATATAAAAATTAATGTACAACCTTCTTAAAAATTATTGTCAAGGATGCTTCTTCTATAACTAATGTATAATTAATTATTTTCGCTTTAAATACAAGTTAAGTAAGAAAATATAATAATGGATAGACTTTTGAGGCACTCTAAATATTAAAGAGCAGCATCTTAAATTCATAAACCTGTTAATTTGTTACCTAATAATTTTTTTTAAAAACCATTGAGGTATCTATAAGGTTATGTTGCACAAATAGTTGAGGTTACCTGTTCAGAAGTATCTAACGAAGTACCAGGCTTGCTTATACACTTTTTGAAGCATTTCTCTGTCATTTTCTGAAAATACGAGATTAGATCTGTGTTGTTCATTCATGTTACGCTCATAAAAGTAAGAAATAGATGGACTTGTGTAATCGTACCTCAAGTAATTCTTGGGCAGTAGCAACGGCGATTTGTTGTTTAATTTGTCCCATCAACTCGTCCCTTTCCGAACTACTTAACGAACCGGTCGAAAGTGAATCCATATTTACAGGTAATTACTAATTCGTTTTTTATATGATAATATTAAAATCGAATTCACTTTGCCCTACTAATGTTCCTGAACCACCATGTCTTTACCCGGTTGATTCAGTAAACCGGAAGCACGTGAAGTTACCTTTAACAGATATACCGTTCGGAGTGTGCAACATTTTGTGTGAAACATTTAAGAGTTACGTAAGCGTTCGCTAGGGATATTTTCGATTGGCAGTTGCATGAACTGGTGATATTAGTAAAGAAATATAGAGGGTGTTCCAAAAATATTGGAGGTCATTGAAAGGGGTGGTTCGGGACGTGATTTGAAACAACTTTTTCCTTGGGGAAAATGATGTCCGAGGCTTCGTTGAGGAGATATTAACGGAAAACCCCGACCAATCAGCAGGCGCTTCATTGGCATCCTCGCGCTCTGATTGGTCCGGGATTTTCTCTTAATATCTCCACAACGAAGCTTCATACAACATTTTCGCTAAGGAAGAAGTTGTCTCAAATCACTTCCCGAACCACCCTTTTCAATGACCTCCAACATTTATGAAACACCCAAAATATCATTTCTTTACTATGTTACCAGTGCATGCAACTGACAATCGAAAATATCCCTAGCGAACGCTTACATAACTCTTGAATATCATTTCAAATCACCTCTCGAACCACCCCTTTCAAGGACCTCCAACATTCTTAAAACACCCTGTATAACATTCTACTTAGTAATTTCATATTACACTTTTTCATATTTTTTATAACGTGCTATTATCGTAACCCTACGATGACTTTTGCTTCAAGTGTCATTTTTGACTCACTGTTCTCTTATACATCATCCATTTAATTCTATGGCAGTAACAATTGCTGTAAGTCGTAAATTTCGATTTGATTACTTGAATTTTACTGCTTACATTTTTAATCACACCTAACAATATTCGAAGGCAAGATTTTCTTTCTTTTTCTTCTAAAATTAAAGTAACGTAATGTTTAGCAAAATTCGCGGTATCATAGTTTAATATGCTGTATATATTTTCTAGATGAACGTAAATATTACCGAATTTGAACAAATAAAAGTTCACGTTGAAAGACGAAATAAAATTCTGCACGAATTGCAAGAAATTTATACGAAATGTTTGTCGCCTCGGACGAACGACATAGGTCGCGTAAGAATATTCAAAACAAACAATCGCGTTAAGTGTGTTGATAGGTTTTTTATTGTAATTTTATGCACCGATACAGGTAGTTCTGTGTGCAATCTGCCGGATGCAATAAGAGGGTCGTACTCACCTATTGTGGAGGATCTTTTGAAGGAAATGAATGAAACGAAATTAAGGAAATTTAATGAAAATGATAATGATGGTAATGATTGCTATCGGTGTAAGCATTTTTTGAATATACCGCAAAATTTGATCAAAGCTTGCGAAGAACTGTCGGATTGCACGGAAGAGTACGAGGCTGATTTAATTTTCGTTCAGGCTGTGGTTTGGCTAAAGTCAGCGACAACGTTTATGAAAAATATCTCCATCGAACAGTTTCATTTGATATTTCACAAACAATGGAATCTAATGGAAATTCATCGAAATAGAAGGAATGCAACACGTTAGTATTTAAACATTTTTCTTTAAACTTTATGAAGTCGGGCTTTTTTCAATGAAATCTTCTGAATTATACACGGTGTCTCAAAAATATTGAAAGTGCTTGAAAGAGATGGTTCGGGGGGTGATTTGAAACAACTTTTTCCTTAGCGAAAATGTTGTACGAGGCTCCGTTGAGAAGATATTAACAGAAAACCCTCGACCAATCAGAGCGCGAGTATGCCGGCGGAGGGCGGTCGCCTAGCGCGTAGCCCACGCCTACCGCGCTCTGATTGGTCAGTGTTTTCCGTTAATATCTCCTTAACGAAGCCTCGGAGAACATTTTCGCTAAGGAAAAAGTTGTTTCAAATCACCTCCCGAACCACCCCTTTCAAGGTGTTACAACATTTTTGGGACACCCTGTATATAAAGGATGGAAGTGATTTGAAACAACTTTTTCCTTAGCGTAAATGTTCTCCGAGGCTTCGTTAAGGAGATATTAACGGAAAACACTGACCAATCAGAGCGCAAGTATGCCGATGGAGCGCTCGCAGTAGCGTATGAGCGCGGCCGCCTAGCGCGTAGACCACGCCTATCGCGAGCGTTCCACCGGGATTCTCGCGCTGTGATTGGTCGGTGGTTTTGCGTTAATAATTCAAAATCGAAGCACCATACGACATTTTTGCAAAGGAAATTGTTGTTCAGAATTGTCTCAGCTACACTTGTACTAATTCTTATACTAATTCTGGGACACCCTGTATATGGAATTTAGTGGCCATCAAATTTTGTTTATTGTTAGAATAGCAATAATAAGCATAAATTGCGCTGATGTATTCGGTTGAAGAATCAAAAAGACGTTTTACAACGTACTTTAAAAAATCACATTATTAATTTTCCTTATTTTCAACAATTATTTTTAGATAACCTTGTGTGAAATTTGAAGAAGACAGCTTTAAGACATTTAAACACATAATTCCTATATTACAATAGATAAAAATCAATATCCTGTTGTGAATGATTGAATTAAAATTATTTCAATTTTATTTTTTACAGGCAAGGATTTTGAAAGCTTCAATCTGCATACGATTCCCAAATTTCTACTGGAAGAATTACACTGCGACTTTCTAGATTCTCCCAAACCATTTGACACAAGTAAGAAAAGCTTCGATAGCGATCTAGAGTATGCCAATTCTATTGATTTAGTTAGCAATATCACGTGGAATAGAAATTCCGAATTATCCCACTGTGACACGAAACAAGACGACACAGATTTCATAAAGTGTTGCACCGACCTATCCATCTTCGTTTCTCGAACTTCTGAGATACATGTTCAGAATGCATGCTCTCTTGTCACAGATAAAAGCACAACCTCTGATAAGTCCATTATTCCAGAGTCGGACAGGGAATATTCATCCTGTTCGGATATATTCAAAGATTCCTTAGAGAGCGAAGAAATTAATAACGCAGCAGAAAATAAAAATGAAAAATCTGTTGAGAGAAACGAATTTATTGTTGGAGTATCGATGGAAGACTCTTTGGTCGCTACTCGTGCCACTGATCCCTCATCGATTCGTTCAGAGTTTGAAGATGAATGGAATAGAAACGATTCGGATGTTACTATGTTTGACAATGACTATTCACTGTCTCGAAACAATGAAAATAAATTGACATCGGAATCAAGTAGTCAGTCAATAATACAATGCACAAACGAATCAGATTCCTATCCTCGAAAGAAAAATGTTCTAATTCCACCAAAGCAAGTTAATAAAGTTATTAATAATAGTTCTCTTCTGAAAGACAGTGCCTACGATACTTATCCATTAAGCGGGGTTCGTTGTGTCATCAAAAACGATGATACCATAGTTTTATCAAACGGAGAGATTGACAATACTGTTGTCTACCAAAGTGCAATCAGTTTGGATTGTTTTACTATGCCCAATGAAAATTATTTATCTGATGGGAAACAACAGTCATGGTTATCCTCGTTGAAATTGACATTGGATCAGGAAAATGAAAGGACAGATTCGTTTATGATAGAACCTAGTCAAAGAAATGTGGAAAGACAAGAACATAAGGACTTCGAAGAGGATGTGAAACTCATGGAACCTCATGCGAAAAGGATAAAATTAGAATGGGTGAATGAAACTGATCGTATGGTTAAGACGAATACTGAAGAGAGAAAAGAAGGAACGATCTCCTCTAAATGGCTGAGATTTACCTTGGATGCTCTAAGCATAGATGAAGTTGCTTTCCAATCGGTCAAAGTCATTCTTTTGATGCTTCAAGATGAGAGGATAGCGAAGCAGTACACGAAGAAAAGGTTTTGGAGTAATACTCTAGAAAGTGAGGCTGTGAATGCGATAGTAAACTTTTGTGATGTTTTCGAGGCAGAAAAGAGAAGCAACGCTTGTACACAGGAAATTGTCCAAACGATAACTGACACGTTGGAGAAAATTATAGGAAATAACGAATTGAATAAGGTAGCGATTAAGTATCCTTAAGTTTTAGAAGGATTCTTTATATAAAATTCAATATTGTATGTAATATTAACATTGAATAGTATACAGTCAGTGTAATAAGTAGACTGCGAATCTTTATGCAAAATAAAATCTTCGCAAACGTGAACCTACAAATATTGAACCTAAATAGGAATTTATTTTATTCTGCAAATATTATGACATGAACTTTACTTTCAATCTTTTTTTATATTCTTGCATATTTTTTACATTTAATAGTTTCTTGCACAATCAAATTTCCTATAAATGCATAAAGACCTGCAGTCTAGTAATAAGTATTCGTACAGGAAATATTTAAAATAAATGGTTCCTGTACGAATACTTATTACACTGAATATATGTATTCGATATTGAAATTGAATAATATAGTCAATATTAAACTTTTATACTGTTTAGGTAACCATACTAATTCATCAGACATCCATTATTTTAGAACTGTGCACTTCTATGAAAGTTTGCATCGATGTGATAAACTACTTAACTGCGAAGCTGAAATCACAAGAAGGTATTTTAGTTTCTTTGATGAATAGCAAGAAAGCTCATGTGCACACCATAGTAAATCAATTATATATTACTTTCTATGCGTTAACTTTTTGTTTGAAAAAGTATCGATCAGTTTTCTGTAACAAAGATAAGAGTCAATTAGAAGAAGAAATGATACCACCGGTTATTGATTTATGGAAGAAACAATTGCCATTCGAGAATGCAATAATAGAAGATAATGTACAAAAAAGGGAACAGCGATGGTTAACGATTCTAAATGATTTCACAGTAATTGCTGCGAACGACTTTACCCAATTTACGGAAAATTCACGTAGATTAATCGGTATACTGACATGTAAATGAGCAGTGTTCTAATTGCAACATAGTATTATACACTAGTGCATCTACAATGTATGAAATTTCGTTTTTATGATTGTATTATTTTAAATAAATAATAATTGTTATTGCGAAACATTTATGTTTTAACGAAAAATCCTTTTTGCTTGGTTCGAAATGGTCTAGAAAACAAAATTTAATTGAAATAGAAGATTACCACAAGATTAAAAAACTAAAATACTAAATAAATACTAAAATACTAAATAAAACTAAAATAGAAAGAGAACTGGACTATGGTCTTAAAACTAAACTTATTTATATTATAAGAATGTTCACAAAGTGAGATTATATTTTCTTCCATGATTATATTAAATGACACAAATACTGATATAATTGTTATTAAAAACATTCAAATGTTACTGGCAATTATTTGTTGTGAGGTTATTGCAAGAATTTAAACATATTTTTAATGGAATTATAAATAACAGTTTGGATACAATAATTTAGAGATTTCCTTGGAAATAATTGTATACTTCCATTTAAAGTATCTACAGAATAGGTCGATTGGTTAGTGCAGAAACGATATAATTATAAATGAAAACAAAATTATAACGCTACTTAATTTATGAGACTCGGATGAACCATAAACAATACTTTCCAATAATATTTCATCACCAGCATGTCTCCAGTTGCACAACAATTCCGCACTTTTTGGCAGCACATCATAAACAGAATTCAAAAATGTTTGTAGCGGACAAATTTCTGTGCAGTTGGGCATCGTCAGAGGTATGGTATCCCCTTCAACAGCGGTATAGTAATTTATCTGGAACAACAACAATTTGCTCATCGTAATGTAACATTAAAAATAATAGGAGTACAATAGACTAGCACTATAAAAATAGTTAAGACTATATTCCCTTTGTAAATGCAGTAATGCACCTTGTAAAATGCAATTATAATTTCTATTCAATAGGACAATTTATTTTTTAATCGCGAATTTTGTTTTTTCATCATTCTGCAATAAGAGTATTAAAATAAGTGCATCGAAAAGTTTTATGAAATATTTTACATTTTGTGCCATATGATAAATACACTATATGGATAATCTGTGTGTATAAAATGGGAATAGTATAGTTAATACTGAAATGATATATTTAATATTAAAATTTGATATTATATTCAATATTGACATTACATGTCTATAAAATCAGAATAGTATAGATTAATACTAAAATGATATATTTAATATTAAAATTGGATATTATGTTCAATATTGAAATGACGTGTCTATGAAATCAGAATAGTATAGTTAATACTGAAATGATATATTTAATATTAAAATTGGATATTATATTCAATATTGAAATTGAATAATAGATTCAGCTAAATTAAATGCAGCTTTCGATACATTAGAATACTTTACGGAGCAATGAAAGTATTCCTATCAATTGTTCCTCTATTTTGTATTATATTTTAATGTTACAATAAAAATACCTTTATTCCATGGCTCAGTGTTTCGTTATCAAAATACAATTCAAAGATCACAGAAGCTCCCTCGTTGGGAATATGTGGTGACCACAAATTCAGGCTCTTCAACACAGCAGCAATGTTTCTATCGTTGCCACTGTATATCATAAGTTTTCGTTCTTCTGGTATATTTTCCTGAATGTAATCCAACGTATTCGCTAAGATTTCTTTTATAATTGTTCCACCATTTAGTTGCCTCTGCAGTTTAGTTTGCGAAAGAAGATCGTACTCCAAGAGCGTAACGTTGTACAAACTTCCATGGGGAAAGATTTCCTCGGCCCAATCGGGAAGGGATTGATTCAGATCAGCCTGTAAACACATTGGATTTTAAATGTGTATATACAGCACGTTTGATAAAATACGAGCGTAATTTAATCTTATTCTTGTTCCTTTATTGTATTTCGTTCCTGTCGATACATTAAAAACAATGAATAAATTACACGAGAAAAAGATAAATTATATAGCGAATAATTATACAGGGTGTCCCAAAAATATTAAAGGTCCTTGAAAGAGAAGGTTCGGGGGGGGTGATTTGAAACAACTTTTTCCTTAGCGAAAAA